ATATACGTTTTCTTAGTTCCTAAACTCGCGCCTAGTTCCTAACTCCTAAAAGCGCTGAGCTCAAAGATGTAATCTGAAATATTTCAAACCGTTCCTAACTTCATCGATGGGATTCAGGATTACCCTTTATTTATCGATTGAACCACGTTAGCAATTCCATCGGTTTTTAAGCAAAATAAAAATCAATTATTGTTAATTGGTACTACGTACAAAAATAAATAAATTATTAGTTAATGTTAAATTAGTGCAATACACCAGGTTAGTGCTGATACCAGATAAGGTGCATATCTGTTGTTGGGGTTGAAGAATAACAAGAAGTAAACGAACTGAGCATTAGCAAAGTAAAATAAAATACGCAAATTCATTAAGTAAAAGATGATGCATAAGTGAATTGAAATGAGTTTTTAAATCGGTAGAAATACAACGTATTATATAGACGATACAATATATTATTTTATTATTGCAATGTATTTTACTGATAGAAATAGAATAAATAATAGAAATAAAAATAAATTAATTCCTGTATTATGACCTGAAAAGTTCATAAGTTTCATAATTTCTCAACGAAATATTAAAAGTAAAATAATCTGATAACTGTTAATCTAAATTTTTGTTGTTGATACTTGTATTGGATCGTTTTTAATTTTTATATCTTATGGCTATAAAAAAATTAAATAATCAACTTGTGACTGAAGAATTTTGTTTTATATTAGCTTTCGATTTAGATAGGTAGATAGAAAATAACTTTATTCTAGGACACAGTCCCTTGAGAATAAGAAAATTAAAAGATTACATCTTGCCAAAATAAAATCAATGTAAAAAAAGAAATAAAGTAAAGAAAATATAAGGTAAACATTCTATATACAAAACAATTAACACTATGACAAGATACTTAAAGCTATTTGCACTGATAGACTTTTAAGAAAACAATAAAGAATTAAAAAATAAAAATATATTAAACTCTTTATTAAAATAAGCTTTGTGCTTCTGTTGAGAAAACAGAAAGCTGAATCTGCCAATATCAAGCGCCTGATTAATATATAAATACATTATCATTTAGCATTGATATTTGACAATGAATGGCATGAAATAAATGTGTTGTCGAATGGTTAGCAAATATCTGACTGTTTTTGGGACAGGAATTGGAATGTCGAATTTTGATAGGGAGGGAATTCCAGAAATTGACAGAGCGAGCAATAAAAGAGTTTTGGAATGAAGCAGATCTGTGAGAAGGCATGTAAAGGTTAGAAGGTCGAGATCTTGTGGACAAAGAATGGACTGAGGACTTGAATTTGGAGAAGGTTGTAGGCGTAAGAATTACGATAATTGTTGATGATTTGATAGAGGAACGTACCTAGGAAATATTGTCTTCGGAAGGAGGGGAAGGGCCACTTTAACTCAGCGTAGTGGTGACAGACATGGGAGTATCTTGGAGCCCCGATCACAAATCTTACGCAGCTGTTCATTAGTCATTTACCACTGTTTTTGGTCAGAATTTCGAAATAGTGAGACATATAAAGTAATTTAAAAAAATAAATAAATAATGAGACAAATTATTTATTTTTTTAGAATATTATAATAAGTCATAACCAATATGACAAAAAATTACAATAAAACATAAACTAGGAAATTAATTTAAGTTTACTACATTTAGGTTCTTTGAATTATTTGGTGGAATATTGAACGAATTACATTACTATACTTAAATGGGGAGGTAGCTAAGTAGGAAATCTAACTTCAACTCCCGGCAAAACTAAGCTTTATTATTATTATTATTTTATTATTATGAAACCTTGAATTATTATTTAAATTTATTCTATTATTTCAATAATAAGATGCAAATGGGCGAACGGGAGGCCCTTAGGAAGCCTCGGTTGTTAACGATGGTAAGGGATCAGTTAGGTCGGGTTTAATGCCGCTCGATAAGGCAATACGTCGCTTAGGCTAAGCTTATCCAATTACTGTAAATCCGACTTTATGCTCCTTACAGCCAGCCATCGGCCTTCCAGGTAAATATATATCTCTATCGATACAGCACAATATTTGGATATATAATAACAATATCTGAGTGGGCCTTTGAGAGTCAAAACTCTTATAATAATATCATAAATGTAATAATATTGATCTCCGCTATGGTATTGCCTTTAAATGGAGTTCTAAGGAGAAGACATGTGATCAAATTATCTTAAGATTCAAGTGAAATGCAAATACGTGTTTATGAGTTATAAGTAATTAATTGATTGAAAACTCCCCAATTCCATGATTTTTTTTTTAAAAAGAAGTAGATTACGATTAGATAAAGTTATTCACGAAATTTTGGAAGAATGTCCAGTTATTTTATAACAAAATTTAAAAAAAAAAAAAGTTCATTTGATGCATTGGTAGATTCCAAATGAATAATGCATTAAGACCAATTTTGCGTTTTTCTTAAGTAGGTCAAGCTTTTATAGAATAAGATGGGATTGCTCAAAAATTGTTCAAGATAATGAAATTTCAAATACGCATATCGTAAAATGGCCCTGGCGTTGGCCGAAACGTTGTCAAGATAATGTAAAAGAGATAAAATGTCAATGAAATACGGCCTTAATTTATAAAAGCGAAAACCTCAAGACGCCAGAATTAGGAATAATGAACAGAATATAAATAATTTTATTTATTTAGACTTTTTTCTAAACACGTGCTTTTTCTCTAAATACTAAAATAATAAAGAGTAACTGTAAAACGTCACCAAAATATTGTTTTTTATTTATTGATTGAACCTCAAAATTCTATGAAAATATTTAGGTCTTTTAAGTTTTAATATTAGGGCAATGTAATTCTTCTCGAATTAAAGAAAATGTATTGAACATGCATGTTAAGTTGGAGGACCCAAGGAAGATTTGAAAATGGCCCTAGCGTTGGTTGGAACGTTGTCGAACTGGGAGTCTTTCTAGACAAAATTGTTAACAGAAAACTTCGTTTGACTCATTGTCCGTTTATTAACGGAAAACGAGATAAGACCAATTTCTTGTCGTCCTTAAGGTGATAACGTATTTTATTGAATAAGAAGGATGTGCTAAAAAAACTGTCCAAGATAATTAAATTCTAATATACCAATGTAAAGTAGATTTATCACTTTGGTAGTAATAATGAGTAGTATCGTTGTAAATTTAATCACTGTTTTCTCAAAAAAATGTTGGCTATTTTACGATGGCGTACTTAAAATTTCATTATCTTAAACAATTTTTGAGCAATTCCTTCTTATTCAATAAAAGCGTGACCACCTTAAAATAACACAATTAAAAAAACACAAAATTGGTCTCAACGCCTTATCCGTTTATAATCGGTCCATGCATCAAATGAACTTTTTTTTGGAAAATTTTATCTTGAATAATTTTTTTCGCCATTTTTTCAGGTATTGTGATCAGAATGGTAGACTCTCATTTTTTTTTAAAATATAAATGATATGAATATAAAAAAAAAATGTTTTCAAATTTTAATTAGGTAAAGTCAATTTTTTACACGAGCTCTCGGACTGAAATTTGTTGTTCGTTTTTTATCCTTGATTGTGAAATTTCGAAGTAATAATGAAGCCAAAGATCTCTCGGCAACTGTCTTTTCAATCTTCCTTTTGGTCGAACAGGTAACAGTGAAGTGATAAGTAACAGAACAAGTGAACTAGGATGATTAAAAGTTTAATAGTGAATATATTGTATTTGTTAAGTTGTTACGAATATTTATATGATTTCTCGGTTAGTTTGTTCGTGTTGTTGTGTTTGGTGAGATATGACGTAAATCAAGGTGCATTTGCAATTTTTTGAAGAATTTTGGATTGTGCTGTTGATATTTTATTTTTGTGAACATTTTATAATGAACTACAGTAGCTACTCTAATTTTGGGGTACCCAAAAGCTTTATATGTATTAGGACAATTACTTTGGAAGGAAAAGAAAGAAAATGACTACCTACTGGAAATGATGTTTAAGTGGTTATTTTAGGCCAATTAAGAAAAAATTATAATTACTCGAACAATACTACTTTTAGAGATAACTTCTCAATATTTGTTTCATAAAACAGAAATAAGGGTTATATTTAGTAGCTGTATATGCATTATAATTTTAAAAACAAAAAGTTTGTTCAAATATTTTTATTAAACTTCACAGAGAAACAAAAATAAATATTTTTTTTTTCATTTTGGGAGAAGGGCGTCGTAGGGGTTCTTCAGACATTGGTATCAGGATTTGAACAAAAATACTGATTAACGCTATTATTTATAAACTTTTCAATTAGATAAGCATGTAGCACTTGTGATTGTGTGTCGTATTATAATCATCATTGTTATTATTATTATCCTAATTATTTAAATACCAGATTTATCTGGTCTAACATTATAATAAAAAACTATTTTTGTGAAGTTTACTTGAGGTTGTTACTACCCAAATCCTCTTGATTTGGTATTTCTCCTCAGATAACCAGATGGTTCAGAGACGAGTCCTTGCCTTTGATGAAGTTCCCTTAAGAGTAGATATTAAACGGTAACCATCCTTGTAAAGACATCAAGCAGGCGGCCATGACGGTGTGAGGTTATTGTTTTAATGTAGCGGAGGCTCGTAAAAGGTATTGCTTTCTCAGGTTTTATATCCGCTCGTGGGTTCTGTAAACTACACTCCACCTTTATGTCTCGCAGTAAATGGCTTCTTCGCTTTCCGGACTTAATTATTCAATTATTGATCCCAAAGAACTCACTCTGTGAAATTGACCGATACAAAAAAGAAATAAAAGTACACAGTAGCATTTTTCCATAGAAAATGGTATAATTTAATATAAAATAAAAAGAAAAGAGAAATATAAATGTAATACATTAAGAGGCTTTGTTTTTCACAGAAATTTTGATAACAACAGATTTTTACAAATAAGGTTTCAAATGAAAGGGTACTTGATAGAAACGTGAAAAACCATAGTCGCATCCTCCCGAAAGTTTAGTGGAAATAGTTCAGATTTGTATTTAACCTCTTGTAATTTCTTGACGCTATTTTATATTATAAAATCATATTTTTTGTTTTAAATCTCACATGTTCAATCACATATTAGCGTAAAAAACAAAACAACAAAGTAGTCGATCAATATTACTCCACCAAGAAACTAAATTTTAAGTTTTTCAAATTGTAAAAATTTGATATATTCTAAGAGGTAAGCTGTAACATTATTCTGGAGATACTAATCAATCTGATTTGCCACTGTTATATATTTTTTTCTATTCGCTTAAGTTATAGATATTCAAATAGCATTAATAATACAGTTACTTTAGTTTTTTTTTTGTTGTTTTTTTTTCTGATGTTTTTCTATAATTGTTTTTGAAGTGAAAACTTAGACGCGTGAACACACACAATGAACACTTCTTTTTTTTCGGAGAGTGAATTACATTGATCCGTCAGATCCCCGATGTGTATCGCTCGGGTAAAGTCGGTTGGAGTCGACTAATTGAGGTGTTTTGACAAATGGATTAAAATATCTCAGAAAATAAAAATCGGATATGCATTTTATAAGAGAGAGAAATGTTCAACATTCCATCCTCTCTGTAATAGGCTATTATTCAATGTATCTTAACGAAACGCCGTGTTAGAGAGGCGAAAAGAAAAAAATAGTATCGAAAATAAATGATAACGATTTTTATGGAAGATATAAATATCTAAACTAAAAATGGGACCTGAATACTGTAAGGAAGGGGAATGTTCAATGTAATGAACTATTATTTATAAGTTGTTATTTTATATTAATAATCTTGCCTTGTTAATATTTCAACTTCTATCGTGTGGTCTAAAACACACACTTTAGTTTTTTTATCTTTTTATATTTATGGTACTACTTGTATTCCTTCACTTTGACGAGTGAACCAAGAGCTCGTAATCATGCTATAAATATGATTTCGAAAATGGTGTTGACAATGGATAACCTGTTCATTGTCTAATATCCCGTTATTTATACCGCGATTTACGACTTTCGCAAACTACCAACTGGTCTTTTTAAGTTTTTGCCAGACCAGGTGAGAGAGCGGAGGAGTAATGACAAGAGTTAAAAGCCCTGGGATTCGTACTCGTAATCTTCAGTTCATCAGATTGCCGGGCAATGTGCACATGCGTTAGCCGCTTCGGCCATCTCGCCACTGTCTTCAGTTTAAATTGGGGCCTTAATTACATTAATACTTTCGAGGTCTGCTCGCTTAAAAGGGAAACAAAAACTCCTAACGGATTCTTTTCAGTTAAGATCGGAGACTTACCGGATGTCTTGGTCACCTTCATCTACTTTCGGACACATTTGAGTATTCTCGTAATTCCATTTATAGCATGATCATGAGATCTTGTTCTAACTATCAAAGTGGAGCAGCACTTGTACATTAGCACCATACTTATAAATATATAGGCACACAGCCTGCTAGGATCTCTTACTCTATACACTTCTGAAGATGATCCACAAGTTTGGATTGAAACATTGTCTTGTTAAAATAAAAATTATCATGGCTTAGTTGCCATTATTTATTACGTAAAATAACGAAAACCTCTCTCCTACATACCAGATTGGTCAAGAGTTAATAGAAAAACTGAAAATGAAATAATTAGAAAACAAAATCTTGTCTAGCAGACGGATAAAAAAATATTCTGAATGATTCACTCAAGGCTTCATAAACTAGAGTTTCTAAAGGAAAATTATACCAACAATGAACTTGATGCATACTGATTGATTCTACTTCTAACAAAACCAATGATAATGGTGAATTTTAGTATAAAAACCTATCAAACCTTCTGAGATCAGTCAATCGAGTCACGTCCAATCCATCTAGCTGACACTAAAATTCAGTCAGATGATCAGTTTGCTATCACTAAATCTGTCAGCTGGACAGTTTAGACGTGATCTCGACGGGCCTAAGTCCTTAGTTTGAATATAAATGATGATCTTTATTAATAAAAACATACTTATTCTAAAAAAAAATGTATGTTTTGGGTGTATAATAGATGCTCAGGTTATGCACCAGTAGAAAGTATCCGATAAGCAATTATATTTTCATTGGATTCATAAATTATCAAATGTATTTTTCTGCATATATACCTCAAATGATTTTTCTAAAATATTCATTAACAATTTATAAAGTACTCTTAAAATCGCTCTGGCATCACGTTATGGAGAATACCAAAGAAATCAATTATAACAAAAAAGTAAAATCTTATGAATCGTTATAAACTGACCTTGACATTCCTTTCGTCACAGCAACTATCGCAGATCATTTCAATACTGACAGTCTATACTGGACTGACTCCCTGAGGATTTATAAAAATTCTTAAGGAACGGGATTGACCAAATCTCGTTATGAGTCAGCTAGTTGATAGTGCGTTCAACTCGTTCTAAACTTTCAAAACTTCTTTACTTCAACAATGATTTCAGCTACGAGATGCGAAATTGGTGCAAGTCGTTTCCATAGTAAATTATTAATTAATCACTGAGCGTATTTGTGTGTACTTAAATATGCTTAAAGCTGTTATGTTTTGTTAAATTAGAGAAAGTAAGCTGTTATTCCTCTCCAATAGAAGTATACTATTATATTATAGAATTAACTGCAGCTGCCTCAACATGTTCGGGCACCAAACCTCACTCTTTTTTTTTTATTGTAATTTTAACTTAATAATCATTAAAACAACAATGCACGACGCATTTTTTTCAGATGAAGTGGAGCTTTGGAATCTTCGTAGCAGTTTTCTTCTTGGCGTCCCTCGTCCTCGCTGAAGGTGAGATCTGGGAGGAAGATGAAAAGGAGGTACTCATCAGGAGTGAACGCGGAGCCAAGAACGGAAAAGGTATCGTTGCGTTACTCAATTAAATATAACGAATTTACTTATAAATAGAATTAGAAAGTTATTAATCGAAAACCGGTTTTATTATAACTTATTATGGCTTTGTATCAGTACTTCTAATAACAGAATTCATTATTTGGAAGTGGACCGTTTATTAAAAATCATATACCGTATAACGAGGTTCTTTGGTTCAGGGGTGCCAAGAAGGAGGTTTCGTAACGCAAGTTCGCTATTCAAATTTTTGAGGGGACATATTTTGATGGGATTTTGAATTATTTTCTGATTGAAAAGTTTCAAACCAGGAGACAAAGGGAATACTTGGAACAAACCGTAGTAAGTGTAGTTGTATATGATCTATGGTACTTTTATTTCTAATGTTTTTAAGATGAGAAAAGAAAAAAAATAGCTTAGAGTAGAGAAGGGAGGGAAGAGGTTCATGCGCCATCGCCATCGGGAGGGGGATAGACCCCCTGTTTCGGTTAAGTAGAGGGTGACTATACACCAGAGTTTATTTTGAATTTGAAATCACCTGGTGGAGTAGAACATTGTTACAAGGGGGCGAGTTGGCGGAATGGGCTAACGTGTGTGCACAGCACCGCGAGTTGCCTGGCAACCAGATAACAAGTTTTGAGATTGAAATAAAAATACGAGTTCGCGTCCCAGTGCCAGAGGGGAGGGGATTTTCAATCCCCCGCCCTCACCTTCCGGGCCCGGGAGAATCCCGTATAGCTTAAAAGGCGAGGCAGGGAAGAGAAGGAACAACTACATTGTTACATTAAGAATAAAGGAAAGTTGTCTGAAAATGAAAATATTTTAGCCCGCCAAATAATTTCATATTGAAATAAACTCTGATGCATAATCACCCTCTGTAGATTAATTTTCAAACTTTTTTTTTTAATTCAGCGATTGATTATACAATAAATTTCTCGGTTAAAAGTTGTGAAAGAAAAAAAAAAGAAATTATAATAATTGAACAAAATTCTAATTTAAATATTTTAAAACTTTGTTTTATTGATTTTCAAACGTCTTAAGAAGGGGATTGGAGCTCCTCTACGCCGAATTTTACGATTCATCTTGTTGTTTCATGCTCCTTATTGGGCCTAAAATGTAATTTTGGGACAAAAAAAAAATCCTACATTAATTAAATTTAATTAATTTATCGTCCAGGTCAAAGTGTGGACGCAATCTATACCTGGCTTTAGAGTTCATCTTAATTATGTTCTATCGGATTCATGTCCGGTGAATGGACACGTATGCTTGATTACTTGTTACACCAAATAAAGTTCCACATTTGTTCTATGAGGTTGGGTATTTCATAGAGAGAAAATAATTGGTATGTTTCTGCGGTCATCTGTTCATTCTTGAACAATTTAAGCTGATTTTATCGGCTTAAATCGCTCCCTATACCACTATTGAACGTCCCGTATTCTGGTTCAGTCATACCCCGATTAAATCGCTAGTTTTTCTCTCTCCACTCTCTAATACACTTGCTCCTGATAATAAAAAACTAATTTCGATTTATCGGTAAATAAACAACGGCCCCGGTCCTCATCAATCGAACCAACATGCCCACGTGCATGTTCAAGAAATTAGCTGCTACCTTTTGTCTTATCAAAGAAACCACTCTCTCTGGTCTTTTTCCCCTCAAACCGATTTTATGAAGGCCTTTTCAAACTGTTTAAATTGAAATTAGGATCACTGTTGTGATCTCAAAAGCGTTTTGCTATCGAACCCGGTTGCCTTTTGCAATGAATTTTCAAATATCTTTTCTGCTTAAGTTCATTTTTTTCTGAATTAGCCTTTTCCATGAGTGCACAGAACAGAACTGAGTAAACTGTTCCCTGTCATCCTGACCAAGCTCTTCTAATAACTTCATAAGAACATTCAAGTCCACCATCTAACCCTAAAAGAGACAAAGCTGGCCCTAATTCTTCATTAATAAGTCTTCCTAAAGACATTTAAAGTGCACTGGCGTAAGTAAATATTTTGATGATTAAATCTTAATTCCGCAACCAAAATAAAATTGATTTTGTTTATTTTATTTTTCATTAATCCTTATAGAGATTATGATTAAGGTAGAGATTATAGAAAGTTATAAAATATTTTATTTTTTAAACTTAAAAAAATTCAAATCATGTTAAAATAAAATTAATAATATTAATGTTTTTAATTTGTAAGGCCAATTTGGACCCACTTCAATTTGTAAGCTGTTTATTTGTTTTCCTTACATAGTTTTAGAATGTTTATTATATCAAAGTCAATAGAATAGTAAGATAAAATAATGTTAGTTTCAGTTTTCAGTAAAACATCTGTAAAATTGCATGCCGATATGCCATAAAGAATTAATTTATATTTTGGTGAAGCTCAGTGTAAAGCTATTATGTAGACAATATATTGTTTGTATCGGCATTGAATCTTGTGGTCTTTTTTGCCAACCTCTGACAGCTTCCTTGAGGAAGTTGTCACCGCATTCTTACTAGAATGTCAAGATTCATTTTCCAGAGTCGCTCAGCCAACACATCCTCTCCTGTCAAATAATTTTTTTAAAAACTTTTGTAGGTCAGTAATTTATTTAAAAGCAACCTCTGCTCAAAAAATAGAAGACTGACGGAGGCCGTTTTTGCCAGCCATTGGATACTAATAAAGGCATGTAGGGATCAAACAACAAAAAATGTTCTTTTGAAGCCCACATTTGCATGAAAATAATTTCCTTTTGTTTTTAGCTGCTACCGTTGTTGGTGGTAAACATTTTTTCGGTATTTCATTTTAACCAGAGCTTTATTAATACCGTCCCTTGTGTTATCATGTCATACTCAGAATATACATTTTCAAACTTTAATTACTTTCTGTCTTCCTAAACTTCATTCTTCTCTTCTTTCCAGTACAATCTTGTCCCTTTTTCTCCTTACCCATGTGCATATATAAACCAGGAATATGATGGAACTTTATTTTACTTTTATTTTTAAAGTAGATTTTTCTAGCATGATAATCTTTTGATAATTTAGTGCTAGACAAAGAAAATTTAATAAATGCAAAAGGAAATATGAGAATTTTGTAATATGAAATAGTTCTTTAAATATAGTAATAAACTTGCTTTTTATGAAAAATTCTACCATAATAAATAAAATTAATTTTATTCTAAAATTCTTGAATATTTTACCTTGTTAACTCATCCAGGTTATATTACCACATGTGATATTCTTAACACTTCTAAGGGTTTGAGGTCTGCACTTCTGCCTGACCATTCCTGAGTGAAAATTTTAGTCATGTAAATTTAATGTCATTTAAAAGTTCTTTTTATTAAAAAAAATCTATACCACCAAAACCCAAGGAATGTCGGTGATTCTGTATTTTTTTTTTAAAGTACAGTTTTCAAAAGGTTTTGGGAGAAAGTGATTTGGCCAATATTTTATTCAACAGCCAAGTTTTTCTCCCAGCTAAAATTACTTTCTTTACAATAGGTGGATCTGCCTCAAATTTAGCAATTTAATTTGTTTTCTACTTTCAATGTTGCAATTGGATAAAATGTTCTTAAATTCCAGCTTATTCAAGTTTCACTGTTCAAAGATATGGAATTCGGAAAATCTACTAAATATTTATAATTAAAATAATGGTCGAAAGCAACTGTCCGGTATGTAACTCTCAAGAAAAAGAGGATTTTATTCACTTTTTAGGGACTTTTCACATGTGCAGTGAGATAAGAGAAAAATATTTTTGGGCGGCAGACCTGTTCTCCAGAAGAATTATTTGATTTATTTAAAGGTTCTAACTGGAAAGCCTTAAACAATTATTTACAGCAGGCCACATTGCAAAGATCTCAATTAGTAAGTTAGTGAGCAATTGGTACAACGTCGTGTTTATTTATTTTAACGTTTGTTTTTGTTTTTTTTTGTATTTGTATTATATTTGATTGTTATTATTATTATTATTGTTGAAATTAAATTTCTTATTTATTTGATTTATAAGGTATTTTTTTTAAAACACTATGTAAACAAAGGAAACAGTGAAGGAAGAAATTGCTAGAATGGAAGTATAAATATATAATAATACTGTAGATATATTATTACTCATTTATTTTAGTTATAAATATAATGAATATTTATTATGAATTACACACAAACCTCGACAGATGGAATTTTCCATTTTATATCTATTGTTGCTTGTATATACACATTTTTTATTTTTTAAAAGTATAATAAACACGTTTTCATTCATTTCAAATAAAAATAGTGAGTGTTCTGTGATGATTCTAGTTGAACGGGAACTCCTGACTCTTCATCTAATATCAGTTACCTACTTATTATCTAAAAGTTGAATGCTACCAAAAACTGTCTGACGTGTGACAATATACATCCTGACAATCGGCAAAATATTATTTAAAAATTACTATTTGGTAATATTGAGTTTGACCAGAGGTGTCCATCCCCTTCAAGGTCGATGGTGCAAGAACCTACCCCCTCTTCTCCCAAGATATTTTATTGCTTGCCTTTTGTTAAAAACAGTGCAAGCTAATGTAGAATTAGAAAAATTGTAGATCATACACAATTACACTTGCTGCGGTGTGTTCCATGTTTTCCCCTTGTCCCTTAGTCCAAAAATTCATAACCCTGTCGAAATTTTCCCTCCTCATACATTCAAAAATCTGTCAAAATATGCCCCTCTCAAAATTTTTTTTGGCACATCTTGCGAAGAATGAAACCCCCTTCTGGGCATCCTTGAGTTTGACCATTAAAAGATTATCCAATAGTTGTAGATGGTGTAACAAAACAAAGTCCATATTTCCATTTTTTGAAGACGGGGTAGAGGAAGTAGAGGACAGTAATGTCTGTTCTAGGACTACAAGTTTTGTGCAGTTTGTGGCTACTCTTTTGTTTTATTTTAAACTTTTTTTTCAGATCCCTGCAGATACGAGAAAGGCCCCTGGTCAGAATGTGACTCAGCAACAAACACCCGTTCCAGAACCCTCACGTTGAAGAAGAAAGCAGGAGAGACTGGATCTAATTCACAAGCAACCTGTGAACCCACAAAAACTATTAAGAAACCCTGCAAGAAAGGTTGTGATTTATTATTATTGTATGAATATTTATATATTTCTAATGTTTATCCTCTAATATCTTTTGCTCCTGCTAATGAGAGAACTGTTCCGCTATCGGCCAATACCCTTCTCCCTATTAATGTTTGGCACATAATTGTCTGCCTAACATCATACCTCATAATATTCTTTCATCTTCTTAGCCCTAACCTCACATAGTGAAGAGTAATGTATTTTTTTTTCATTGTATAAACCAAATTCTGCACTCTTAGATGATCTCCTAACCAGTTAAGTCTCTGGATCTAAATGAAACCAGTGATGTTGAATGTTCATTATATGTTTTACACAATTCTTTATTTTCTCTTAAATATGCCTATGATTATTGATATTTAAATCTTTAATAGGAAAATATTATTAATGTCTTATTTTTCAGCCTGTCGATATGAAAAAGGAACTTGGAGTGCGTGCAATGCGCAGAATGAAATGGTACGCACTGACACAATAAAAGAGAAAAGCGACCCAACTTGTGAACAGAAGAGGCTCGCTACAAGGAAGTGTAAAAACAAGGGTAACCGAGGCAGCAAGGCCAACAACAAAGGTGGGTTCGATTCTGAGGCTTCGACCGTCGAACCTTCTTCTTTCATCTAAGACTTTAAGACGTCATAAGGTCTTCTTTCACTTTTCTTTTTCAAACGCTAACTAGCCGAGTGAAGATTTTCTAACCTTTACTAACTCAAACCCTCTAATCTTCACTTACCTTTACCATTCTAGGGAAGCAGGGTTGAGTGGATGGATGAATGATATAGAATCTATTTCATAATGTAACTGAAAATAAAAATTAACCGAATAAGAATAGTTTTTTTTTACTGAACTTGTATCTATTTTTCTAAGGAACATTTATAAAACTACTCCTGAATAACTTTTAGTTACAAATTTAACTTAAATCTTATCATTATATTATAAAACCTCATGTCTATCAATGTAAAACTAATGGATAATTAATTAAGAGTATCCCAGAATATGTTGAACTCGTTATTGAAAGTAAGAGTAAATAAAATATTTGAAGTTAATTTTTCTCAAACTGTAAAATGTAATCTCAGATGAATTTTTGTAGTTTGAAATATTTGTGATGACTGAACACTGTATTAAAAACGAAATGTTATCTGATATTGCCTTCACTTGTTATTTTCTTGTTTTTATACAACTGCAGGTTTAAATCATATATTATTTTCAAAAACTAATTAAAACTAGTACATTCTAAAAATTATTTAGTTGGTAGTGAATTCATAAAAACATCCACTCATACCTGAACCAATTTTAGCATGGCTGCTAGTTTGCTTACTCTACTGCCTTTATTCATTACCAACAAACTACAGAACTGTTATTAACACTTTTAACATGACCTAAACAAATAAAAATAAACTTAATTTTTTTTTTAAATCTAGCATGGAACTACTATAGTTTTAAATAACTTGCTTGGCCTCGCTCTAGCATTAACTAATTTAAATAGATATTAGTGATTAGGGCCAATCAAATCTGAATAACTTGGAGTGCACGTATTGAGAAAAAATTGAAACAATTAGTGTAGAGATTTTCACAAACTTGCTGCAGTTAATAAAGTATAATCCCAATTTTAATTTCTGTTTCTTTTTCTTATTCTTAAATCTATAAATCTTCTTCAACATTAGCTTTAAAAAATATTATGTTTTAAAAGTTGTTTGTATTCATAGTTTTGTTAAATTATGAATATTGGTTTATAAAATTTTACTGTTTCACAAAGAATTTCCTGCTTCTTAGAATTTTACTTTAAATAACATTCTGTTTATGTGTATTCGTAGGAGATATTCTAATCCTGACTGTCCTCATATTTAACTATTATGCGTTATTCATAAGATGCGACCATTCTTTTTTTTTTTTAGTAAAAAAATGTTTTGTGACAAACCAACAACTTACAATCTAAAAAAATGTAATAAAATTAATACTAATTTCATTTATCATTAATTGTATTAAGGAAGAAATTAAGCAATGAAAGCAAACGCAAACTGACATGTGTGAATCAATTACTAAATTTAAATATAAAAATGTATAAATTATTACTGTAATTACTTAATAAATTGCTTATTTAATTAATTAATATGTGTATATAGGGGATTTACTTATTTAAATTTCTTTACAGCAGGACATTGGTAATGTGATCTAGTTAACACCTAAGGTATTCATAAGAAAACTGACACAACTCAAAAAAAAAGCATTAATTTAATCTTGTTGATTATGACTTTGCAAAGGTGGAAAATAGTTAAGTTAGTTCAAATTAGCTACAGTGTGAATATGTATGGTTGTTTGTTGACCTTCTTCTAAATTAACAATACATTTAAAAATTAGAAAGAAACGGTGAAACTGGCTTTGATCAGATGGCTTTGAAGTGATATTAACAATATATTTCAAATATTTAATCAGTAAAAAAGAAATAATTATTAATTTCGAAACAGCTTTACTTGCCGATTATTCGTTAAAGTAAACAAGTTCCATGTCTTTAAATTTAATCAGAGGAACAAGATCGACGTTTTTCTGAGTTTTTCAACATTTGAAATTTCCAATTATTATGTACTAGACTTAAAGAATAATAATATCTGTGAAATTTAATAAACAGCAGCATATTATCCTCCTCAGTAGCTATTGATTTTTCTTAATAATTTGTAATATTAAGCCTTTCCTGTAGAGTTTTTTTTTTTTCAAAAGAGACCTAACTTACAAAACATTTAGCTCATTAAACCAATGTCCTACTGTATTTAATTGCTATACTAATTTATTATCTGTCAATCCTATAGTTAATTATTATCAATAATGTAGACTACCTAAAATCAGCTATATCCTTATATTTTGAAAAACATTTGTTCTGTTTTGAAAGTAATAATATGTTTTACTGATTTTCCAAATTTATTTTAATTATTTATAGACCAAAAGATAAAGGAATTAATTTCCCATCAAGTTCTTGTTGTTTCTGATTAATAAAAACAGAAAGACAGTATTATTTTACAATAACTTAGCGATTATATTTCTTCAATTATGTGTTTCAGTTTAAAATAAATACACAATATAATCATTTTAAAATTAAAACTATATTTTAATCCTCAAATTCTTAAACCAGAATTTTTTAATAAATATCTGAACTGAAAAATTTTAATTTTTTAAGTATCCATAATTTTCTTTTGTTTCATTTTAAATTCAATAAATATTTTAATTTCAAGTTTAAATTCTGTATATTAATAATTAGTCATATTATCAGCTCGAAGAATGAAAAATTCTAATTGTAATTTTTTCTCTATTTCAGGAGCTAGACGCAACAGGCAGTAGAGTGTCGAATAATCATCAAAGGGTATAAGGGACTTTTTAACTTTTCACTCTGACGTTTTACCAATATTTTTCCATGGCATTAGTTTTCATTTGAATTAATAAGTATTATTGTTCCAGTTGCATGGCTATACTGTATGACTTTTAAACTCATTTACATGACCCATTTTAAAAATAAAATAAATAAATATAAAAAATATATATTATTCGAAAATTCGTTTTAATGTTTCATTAATCTGTCTTAAGGTCGATTGAAATTACATGTTTTTCTTATAATGTTCTATGTATGTATTGGAAATGTAACATGTGATTTTAAAAGCCTTTTGCTATATCTTAAGGGGTTATATACTTTGAATGAATCGTTGTTCCATTAATAAGAGTTCAAGGATCATTTGCTGTGTCCGTCTTTGTGATTTCGATTCGGTGTAGGTTTACTAATATTTGAAAAATTCCAGTAATGTATAGGTGTAGAAATCTCTGGCAGTAGGTCCCGACTAGCTTATAGAGATTCCATAAATTATCATTAATAATACTCATTTTAGGAATCATATACTTCCAGTTATTTTAATTAGCCATTATATATAACTTATAAAAAACAATTGATGTGTATATACTGTTTTAGGCTAAATGTTGTGTTTTAATAAGACTTATTATGCCATTTCTTTTTTTATTTTCATTTAATATTAGTTATTCATAAAGTTAATTTAATAAATGAGTATAAATTAGTTTTAAAATGTAGTAACGAAGGAGAGTCTACTAGCTGAAGACATAAGGAACGAAAGGTGCCCACCAAAATTGAATATTGTCTCATCAGCAGCTCTGTGAAATTTGAAAAATTTCTCACTTTAATACATTTATTGATTTTTGTAACTAAAAGCGTGTGCATCAAGAGAAGATACTCAGACTACATTTATATATATTTGTTATTATAAATGTAATAATAGATAATAAAGTTGCAATCATTCTTTTTTTTAATTTATAAAATCTCATCTATTTATTCTTCCTTTTTCCTTTCTTCAAATTCATTATGCCTGAATAAATTCTCCAGTCAGCATGGGGATATCCAGAGGGGAACAAGGTGGGATAGGACAGCTGATAGCTTCCAATATCAACAAAATTAAAATGAGATAATAACAAATATAAAAAAAAAATAATAGTACAAGAATAAACTAATTACTAAATTAATACTGATTCTGCCACCTTTAAATTATTTATTCCCATTTTTAATAATCTCTCCACGTAACCTAAGGGCTATACACCCTTTTGCTACTCAGGAAATAAAATGTATGCAGCCTGTGATGAAATATAAATTAAACGCTAATAACATTTTATTGAGGAACAAGCCAATTTTAAGACTTTAAAAAATACAAATCTTGTCAAATGGTTATAGTCCATGGTACAGACCAGACCCCTTTTTATCAAATTATTAACATCAGCCTAAAACTTTTTGAATAGCTTCATCTTATCGTAACCTAAAAAAAGATGGCCTACAAAAGTATTGGGTCATTTGGCCTATGTAACCTTGGTATTTTGACATATTGTGGATGGAGGTCACACTAAACGTCCCAATATTTTTGTAGACCACCTTTATTCTTGACTTTGTAATCAAATCATCATACAAATAAAGTGGAAACCAAATGGATGTTCATGAGTTATTTAGTGCCTAATGAAATAGACAAAGTTTGCCGATCTCCAGATTCAAAACACCCAGATTCCAAGCATTTTCATGAATAAAAAAGTTGTCGGTTACAATAAGATGAAGCTTTGAACAATAAAGATAACTGTTTTGTCATCATATCAAGTAATAACAATTATTGATAAGGATTTTTTTTCTATCTCTATTGTGTTTTATTACACATCATCTATGGTGATAAAAATCACGAAATTTAATGACTAATTAATAGTAAGATGATTGTAAAAGTTTACTTGAAGATTAGAAAGTTATGAACTTTGTCTGTATGTTTAAACCACTCCTCTTTAAGCACCTACTCCTTTCTCAATCCGAATGATTGTGAAATATATCTCAGAGAAATATCTGAGCACCACCAGAGAGTACCTCAATTTATTAAGGTTATTTTAGTTTCTCATACATATGTACAATTTACTTGTTCTTTTTTTTCTCTTTTCTGTATTTTTATCGTAAGTCAACTTTCATTGTAAATATACAATTCAATTTTAGCCACACAGACATATAATCTGTATTCATATTTTGTTCTTAAGGGACAACAGTCCCAGAATAATAAAACATTTTTTTTCATTTTTCATTTCATTTTCATTATGTTTATGGTTTTTGTATAAAATGCAATCTCATTAGTCCTAAATAAATGCAGCAAGAGGTTGTTCCGATCACTGTAGGTGTTACAGAAAACTATATATAATAAAAGGATAAATCTCAATATATACATTTTATTTGATTAACTGGATTTATATAGTATAAACTTAATAGCATCAATGTTTATTAAAGGATTGATGTAAATTATTTTTAATTTGTCTGACTTTTGGAGGAACTTCATAACTCTGCTTCTTCCATCAGCCTATATCCTAGTAGTTTTTATATTATTTTTACTAATTTGTTTTTAGGAAACCAGATAAGACAGTAATCGTTTCAGAATTCTCCCCTGAAAAATGAATGACATTCAATAAAACTGGAATCTAATTTTCTCAACCTTCTTGATCAATCATGGCCTCACACAAATTTAAGCTATTTCATTTTTAAAATTTTGGTTAAGAAAAGTTTTTTTTGTAAATTCATTGGAATTTGTAGATAAGACTTATGGTTATATATTGTAAATCATTTAATGTGAAATTTATTGCTCTCTTATGAGCAGTAATGTTAGCAAGTCTATTAAAAATAATTAGAGATCTCCAAATGTTAATAAACATAAATCATTGGTGGAAAATTATGGAGTTTTTCCTTTTAACTTCAAAAATATTGTGTGCATGAAATTAGGAGGGTCGCTCCTCAGGTAAAGTAATAGTAAAACATCCCAAAATTTACTTCAAAAATTACTATCAGTTTGGAAATTACTTATAAAAGAATAACATAAACTTAAAGTTTCAAACATTAAAATCTTTTGAATAAATCAATCAATCCTTCAGACACACATACCCATTTTTAAAGTAAAACCTTAATAAAATCACTGGGGAAAACAAAGCGAAAAGAGATATTGGACATAGTCGAAGAAAACTACACAAATGACACACCAAGTTCCAAGCTGGCTGTAAGTCATGGTAGTGGGAGTAATGAGCTCACATCCATTCCTCTGAAGTCCCTCTTTGGTTCTCATCAACAGAGAGACATATCGCTATTTCTTTTTTTGATATACGGAGAGAAGAGCCCCAAAGAAACTCTATTTTTCTAAGTTTTTAATTCACGGTATTGTTCTATACTGATAACAACTTTTTCTTTAAAGGATAGTAAGTAAAAATATAACCTATTTTTTTCTCATTTCTACTGTTATTCATAACATCTCTTTCTAATCATAAAATATAACAAATCAGCTCATTTAGTTAAAAATTACAACACAAATACTATTTTTTGTTTTTCTTTTGAAATTTTATTTGATAATCAGCACCTGTCAATCAATATTATTGACAATCAGTAGGTATGTAAGCTAATCATAAGACAAGAAAAAAAAAAAAAAAGTATATCAAATTATATCCTTGATTGGTTTGTTTTTCTATGGCATATGACTTCTTTGAGTAAAAAAATTGAAACTCATACATGGCGAAAAACAATCACTGCTGAAGGAATATATATTTTTTAATACTTGAAGTAAACTCTTTAAAAAATTCAAGTTTGACCGGAGGAAAATGTCAATTATGACTGCAAGTAAGTTTTATGAATAATTAATTCAATCAATTTGATTAAAATAAAACATATAAAATCTAGTTCAAAGTCATACCTGTAAAATACAAACACAAAATAAAGAAATTGTAAATAACATTTATTTCTCAATTCCACAAATTATCAAACCGAAATTAAACATAAATAAAAAAAAGTTCAAATAGAATATACAGTAAATATTTTTATAAAATCTATTTGACAATACTTAAAAACAATTTTGATAAGATAAAAAAGATATTAAAAATCAAAGCACCAGCAAACAAAGACAGTATTTTATAATAAATAATTAATTTAATAAAGAATACAAAAAAAATTCATTGTTAGTGAATCAACAATAAATAAAACAAACAAAAAAGTAATTCTGCCACACTGAATTAGATTAAATCTTATATTTACCCATGCTGCAAAATAAATGTGTTTTTTAATAAAATATAGTTGTCTAAAGTAATTAATATCAACTTTTCTTAAAGGTCAAAATTTCATTTTAACCAATGATGATTTTTAATTATTGGATTTTTTTTTTCAAATTCTTTCTTAATCAATGTATACCAATTATAAAAGTATATAAATAAGTATATAAAAATATTATTTGGAAGAATAATAGAAACAGGCAAGAATTCTTACTTATACAATATTATAAAAATTCATTGTATATGAGCAAAAGTAAACTACCAGATTTTACACACTTATAAACACTAAACAAATTTTAAAAGTCATTCATTTGTGATCAGTCTATTTGTCAGTATTACATCTATAACAAGATTTATCCAAAAATATGTTAATAATTTATGATCTTACTCAAACTGAAATAAGAAAAACCTTATTTATTATGGTAGATATAAAAATAAACTTCAATATCAAAAACATCCTAAACTTAATAACTAAACTTTATAAAGCCACACCATTAAGATTCTATTTTTTCCCACCATTTTCTTTTTTGTATTCCAGGAAGAGTGTTCTTATATCATGTAAAGCTTGCTTTATATCCTCACCGAACTTCTTGGAGTCCTGAAAGAAAATATAATTATTACATTGTTTTGGAAATCAATAGGAGCAAGAAGCATATATACAAACAGGATCAGGTCCATTTTAATGTCCAGTCCAGATGATGCAGGTTTTAGCAGATCCTCGAGGTGAGAAAATGTATTGAAGCATACATTTAAGAGAGTAAGATCAGTAGATCTGCTAGAGAATACTAAATGATAATTGATGACACAAGGAAATGGAAAGACATTATACAGAGGGAACATATGGGTGAACCCTGCGGTAGGAGACAACTCTGAAAGGGGCTGACTACCTTACTATAAATTAATTTTATTATGTATACTTCAGCTTTGAAAATGGTAAAATTTATATATATATATATATATATATATATATATATATATATATATATATATATATATATATATATATATATATATGTATATTTACTACATGTAGAGAGGAGTAGTAATTGATGAGGAGGAGCAAGGTGGTTCATATATTGTATGAATATTAAATTTTAAGTTTTTTTAATAAGTTTAACACGCCTTTAAGTTATATAAATTAAGTTTTATATATATATATATATATATATAAAACTTAAGATATGAATTATAGTCGGATAATAGGTCATGAAATACACTTAGATAACTTAAAACAACTTCTGTTTATTCTATATTCTAAACAGAAGTTGTTTTAAGTTATCTAAGTGTATTTCATGACCTATTATCCGACTATAATTCATATCTTAAGCTATAATATATAAAGGTCGAATTATAAAAAACATTGTATCATTATATTATATATATATATATATATATATATATATATATATATATATATATATAATGCAGTTTTTTAAATTTACTAACCGTAGTGGGACAACTTTTTTTGGATGAAATATGGAAGAACAATATATCTTCTCCTGCAACAATGTAAGAAACTCCATATCCGTCATCAGCCACTGGACCAAAGCCTCCACCAGCAGAAATGCAGTCAGGATATTTCTTAAGATCAAGTTTACTTGTCTGCCCGTGTGGAGTCTGTGAAGTAGACAATCTCCAAGGCTCACTTAGTACTTCCTATAGCAAATCACATTGGTTAATCGAATCGGCAATTAAAAATATGATTATTACAAGTTATTAAACTACATATTTTAAGATAACAAACATAAGACGAAATAATAACAAATGTTATAAATGAAATACAAAAAAGATTGAATTAATTTAATAGTAATTCAAGATAAAACAATAGTTTAAAATCCATGATACACATAAAATTTGTTTCACTTAAGAGAGCAATATTAATTTTTGACTAAAAATTCAAAATTAAGATTGATTAATTTTATTTAATGAAGAAACTTGGAAATATCATTAAGTTTAGATACTGACCTTAAGAAATGGAGAATCGACTTCCAGATACTTTGAAACAACATACAAACAGAAGAGATGACGATCAATGCCTTTTCCACACATTGCATCCAAGTAGGCTCTTTGGTGCTGGAGGCACGCCTTTTGAAGGAGTGCTACCTTTTCTGAAACCTGAAAATATGGTGTCTGTAATCAATACCAGAAGAAAATAAAAGAAAAGTGACAAAAATAAGATTTAATTTATTAAAACTGGCATAATGTATTTGTAAAAATATACATAATTTAAGACTAGAAGTTAAAAAAAAAATCCAAGGAGGATAGGAGAGATTGGAAGGTATACTTTTTAAGTAGGCAGTATGTTATTTGGTTTAGTTTAGTAGCTTAGCAGGTATAGTTAAATAAGAGCTGATTGTTATTCATAAAAAATACATTTATTATTTATTGAATTATATGAAATTTATTTTTTAAATAAATTTTACTTTATAATGCTATAAGGAAAGTTCCAACTCCACATAGTACTTAAAATTTAGATCTGTAAAGACATAGCAGCTTCTTCCAAATAATAAAAGTAGCTCCGAAATTGAAATTAAGTTTATCCATCAGTAGCATAGGGTATGCTAATTCAGAGGGAATTTCTTGACTAACAGCACAACCTCTTTATGAAGTCAAAATACTGTTACACTTTCTGCAAGCATTAACAAATTTAAATGTCAAAGCTACAAGTGGGCGGGGTGGCCAAACGGGCTAACGTGAGTGCACAGCACCACCGTTGCCCGGCAACCTGATCTATGAGACAATAGATTTGAAATAGTCACAAGTTCGCATCCCTGTGCTGGGGGAGTCTTTTAAATCCCTGCCCATGTTCATGCTCCTTACTAATTTTGACTATGCTGATAAATATTAATGAACTCTCATTGATGAAATTATTACATATAATGAACCCTCATTGCATTATTGTATTTTAATCAATAATTTGATATTTGACCTATCATATGATATTACAAGCAAAGCATGTGAGTGAATTACTTACTGTTTTATCATTATTTGACATTGCTTTGACCCAAGCAGCTGATTCTATTGAGCATGGTCTGACTGTTTCAGTACGGCCTTCTCGATATAAGCGAGTCATTGAAGCTTCATATGTCAGTGAAAACTTACCTGCATTCTGAAATTAAAATAAATTTAATTTGTACCATATAGACAACAGGGTTAGAATATAAAAAATATATTGTTAAAACTTCTTAAAATTAAATATGGATAATAACATATACGTATAAAAACATTTTGAATTTAATTCTTTTAGTTTAGTTTTTTAAAAATTTTATAAAATATTCTTAAAAAAACAAAACTTTTTTTTATATTTCAACCAAATGGATGCCTCAGAAAAACAGATAAGTTCCATTTAAAACTATTTTTAATTCTGTGAAATACTACTAACACAAACATTATTTAGACAAATTTTAAGACAAAGAATAAGCAAACAAGATTTCAACAAGTTAAACAAAAGAGTCTATTGATCTTCTATTAGTTTATTGATAGTTAAAAACATTTAATACAATATAGTATAAACTGTATACATACCCTATAATAAGCCAATTGTAACACCATCTGTAAATAAGCATCTGGACTCAATCTGCACTGCTTCATGAAACCTTTTCCGTAGGCATCGTGCATGTATATGTGAAGATCGATGTCATCAATAAGTTGTCTTGCCACCTTAACCATCCAAAATTTTAGTTAAACGATATGAAATTAATAAATTAGGGCTACAACCAGATTTACTAACAATTTTATTTTCTCAAATTATATGTTTTGGCCAACATGCCATCTTCAGTTATGATCAACATTTACTTTTACGATTAGTTTAAATAAATTAATACTAAATAATATCTATCAGAGTACTTAAAGGATGTTCTTATAAGTTACAGTGAAAAGGGAAAATTCAACAAATTGAGTATAATTGGAATTTTATCAATAGTCACCAAAAAGAAAAAAACGATACATCTGTAACATTTATATTTGTAAGATCTCCCTTGTAAATCTCATTAGACAAAAAATATTACTTTCTAAAATGCTGAGTGAAATATCCTCTCCTAAAAAAATGGTGAATTATTGCAATCACCTATTTTACCAAATAATGACAAAATATGATTGTTCCTTTAATCGCTAACATATGATAGAGATACTTTTATAAAAACTTTGATTAATATTAAGTACTGAGACATTAGACAATTTATTTACAGTAAAACCTCTAACTTAAAAAAAAAATTATTCAGTATTATGATTTTAATTATCCAGTATTTTTCCTAAATATCACATTAACATACCCAACAATGCTGAGTAAGGACATATTTAATGAAAAAAAAATTCATACATTATGATGAAGTTAGTAAAATTCAGAATATATTACTTGATACGAAGCATCAATTGCATTAAGACAGGAGTCCTTCAAGTCCCACTGTAATTTAATAGGCGGAGGAGGGGCAAAACTGGGAGTTCCTTTAGTATGCCCATCTTCTTTGTACCTTTTATTTATAAAAAAATATATATATATATTAATGCTATAATTTAAAACGAGAAAAACAAATTGTTAATTAATTCTATATTTTATTTTATTTCTTTTAAGGGAAGAACCCCATACAAATAGAATCTATCCATTGTTATCCTTATGGTATTACAAATTCTTTTTTTTTTCCTTTTCATACTACATTAAAGGTATTACAACACTTAAGGATAAATTAAAAAATTAATTCTATAGCTTTATTTAAATAACTTCCGAGTACATATGTATCACAAAGAGGTTCTTTTGGAAACCCACATATTTCTAATTTTTTAAATCATATTTGAATAAAAACTTTTACAACTTTCATATTCAATAAATCTCGGTCTGAAACTAGCTGGACTCTTTAGAAACAGAACCAGAAATATTAGAGAACCTTTTTCTCTCTCTAAAAACCATTGCCGTGATCCTTTAGAGCCTCAGTAATGTCAGTCGTGATGTTTTTTGTTCAAAATGATAGCACTAATGCTTTATATTATCATATAACAATCTCTAATTACGATTAAAATATTTATCATAAAAATAGGTTATTAATTTACCAAAATGTTTCTAATTAGTCCCTTAGTCTTTTCACAAACTTCATAATTTACAAAAAAATCAATACAACAAATTTAGAACTAACTAATCTATATATTTTTTTTCAATGAAACTGTTTGATAAATTTATATTTACATATTTATTTATATTTTATACCCATGATCTCTGTATTTAGGAATAAGATTCATTCGAATCTTAAGTAAATTAAAAGAATTACTTTTATCAAAGAACTCAAAATCTAAGAATGAGTGCAATATCTTGTTGTAAAAATGAAGCAAAATTAGAGGTTATTAATTATCAGCACCCAAAAACATGAGGAAGGAGCAAGTTTTGACTTCTTATTCATTAATGTGAGATCGAAAGTGAAAAAAATAGTTAGGGTTCTCATAAGCACTTCCAAATGGTACTAAGGTACTCGGGTGGTTAAATTGATAATGTTAATGAAATAAAAAATTCATATTCTTTGATTAACTTAACTTGAAAACTTTACTTTATGTGTATGAGTTATTGCATATCATCGGTTCATTGCAAAAAGTTATAAAGTAAAATTTTATAACATTAAACCATAAAGTACTCAGATAGCGCACAAAATGTCATTATTCCATTAAAAAAAAGTACTTTGATGAATTTTGCACACTGTGAAATTAGAACATTGTGCATTTTGTGTAACTATGTTTTATAGATGATTAGATCTGTGTCATTTTGATTTTTTTATTGTGCTTTAACATTAAATAAGAATAAAATTCACAAAAAAATCACTGTAATCTATTTCCTCGTTTACTTCTTAAGCAGTATAAGATCACAAAAATATATTTCTAAGTTCAGCTCCATCAAGAAAGTACTTATTAACTGTTTGCAATAAAATAATGATATAATGTTTACTTTCTGCAGATGAAAGCATATTATATAAAACAAAACAGCATAGCAAAATAAATGTTTAATTCACCAAGAATGGAAAAACAAAAATATTCATTATTGACATAAATATTTATTAATACAACTTCAATATGATATAATACATTAAGTGTAATATTTTATAAGGTTAATCATTTTTATAACAATATTTTACAAAAAAATAAAGTAAGTAACTTATTACATAATAAACTGATTTATCCAACACCAAAACAAAGCATGCAGTAGTAGATGTACTTTTAAAAATTATATTTAAAGCAACAAAAAAAAAAAAAAAAGCAGGCAGAAACATGCTTTACCAAATCACCATATAAAATTTTAAAATATGTATAAATATAAATTGAACTTTCATTATAACACAGATTGTTGTACTTTGGATTCAGACATACTTGGATCTCACCATGCTCCCTACCTCTCATTGGTCTTAAAATAAGATGATGATATCATTTTTGTAGTTAATATTTTCACAGTTACTATTTTTTTTGTAAGGATACAAATTTTGTTAATCTTACACAAACGGATTAAATTACTTTCCTGAAATCATTATATTACAATATATTTTTTTGTTTGTCTTACAATGTAGAAAAAAATCTGGTATGAGATGCTTGACTCACAAGACTTTGACTTACTAACCTACTTTTAGTTGAAATACATAGGTAGTAATATTCTCCAGCAAGAATTCTCACAATAGATAGCTATTGTTAATATTAATATAGCCAAAATGACGTTAAGTGCAACTTCTGATTTATGTGTCCATAACTTTTTTTTATTGAGTATCTTACATATAGTTCTTCCAATGAGTTCCTATGAAGGTGTATAAATACATCAATATATTCATGCATGCATGTACACACACACAAACAATTAAAATTTTAAGAAAAAGCTTTTAACACTTTATATTTAACATATTATTTTGAATAGAGTTTTGTCATTAGGTACTTTCTTCAACTAGGCACTATATACCCAGAGAAAATAATTTGTATCTATCTTCAAACCGATTGCCTCTAAGGTTATTTTATATAACAATTGAGTAATGGTCCAAATAGTGTTATTGCAGGAGTATAAGTAGTATATATTATTAAATTAAGAAAACATTTGTGCCAATGATCTATCAAATTTTAATTTTGGTGATTATAGAGCCATTCAACTTCATAGACTGTTTACCATAAACTGGAAGGATAGTAATCATATTACATTTATACAGCAAAACTAATATTTATGAACATTAATCTTATCACTCAGTAAAAAGTTGTACAACACAAATTTTTTTTAAAATCAAAATTTAAAAAATATCTAATTAATACAAGCAGTCCATTTAGGTGAGAGAATATAGCATGCTTATCTATTTAACATCATGCATACATAGAAACTTAAAGCAGACTTTTTACCACAGTAAAATTAAAAAAGAAAAAAAAGTAAAATTGAGAGTTCAATCCAATCAAAATAATAGTTATGAAAAAGTAGACTTGTAAGCCAAATTAAATCATTAAAAGTACTTAGCCATGCTAAAGAATACATGCAGTTTCATGTCAAAAAAAAACTTCTTGCATCTATCACAAATATATTACAACATGACTCCTACAAAAAATTCTGTTTCACAAACGAAAACAAAAAAATAAAACCAAAACACTTGACCTCTCAAAAACAACAGTCTACCACACACAAAATCAACACAACACAGGTGGGCACATCAACCCCAAAACAGCAAAAATAAAATAATATAAATTACCCAATTTCAATTTCTTTAAAAACTACATGTTCCACAGACTGGCTCATAATTGCTGCATCTGCCCTGGTAAAACTCGTAAAATTAGTACATCACTTTTGAAAAATAAGTTTCGATTAAAATCATACCAGCATAGTTTGAATTGAGAAAATAGTTCAATATCAGTTTAAAAATGTTATCACGCTTAATAGTTATAAAATTTAAAATAAAACTGAAGGTCGCAAACATATCCATACAAAACAAAGCTAACATTTAATAAAAATACTATTTCAATGATATCATTACAATTAAATTTCTAATTAAAAAGGTGGTTCAGTACAAAAAATATTTTTTTATTTTTAGACAAAAATTTCTCCTAAAATAAAGCCTAATATAAAGAAATAAATTGGAAAACTCATGATTATATAGTGAGCTATTAAAAAATGCTGCAAATTATTTCACAATGGTTTATTATTTCAAAACAACTATACACCTAAAGTAACATTACCTTCCTAGTTACAAAGAAAAATAAATAAAAGATGATTCCAATTATTGGACTTAACTTTTTTTTTTAATCATTAGTAATATGCTAAAAAAATAGCATTACTTCAGCAACACATTCAAAATTTAAAAACTAAACAAACGATACAACATTTGGAGTAGAACATATAAAAAAAAACTGGAGACCATATCTTTGCTCCTAATTGTCTGATTTTTACGACTTTTTTTAGGAAATTCCGTAAACTTTTATATCCGGTTTTATATCCAAATTTGAAAGAAATCGGTCCAGAAGTTTCGGAGAAAATGCGCGGATGGACAGAAAAATTTGTATTCATTTTTCGAATTCTACGCATCCTGAAACGTGAAACCTCAAATTTTGAGAGGGGTTGAACTTTTGAATTTTTTTGTCTATCATAGTGGTTGATTATTGAAAATAATAAACCAAAAATATTTAAAAATCGCGATACCTCTACTAATAGTGCTTTGATTTAGATGAAATTTGCTTCATTTTGTAGGAAATTTAAATACCTTTGAAACATCTTCCTCGCGCGGGCTCATTACCGCGTATGGGGAGCGTCCCACGGGTGGCGGATGTGGGGATGGTCGGTGGAAATTCCTTGGAAGTTCCTCCTGGCTAAGTCCGATGGACTCGCTGACCAACAATGAGAGGGGCCCTCCAGACTTGCTGGAGGGAGGGGACCTCCAGACTTGCTGGAGGTAGGGGCCCACCAGACTTGCTGGAGGGTGTGACGTAGGATTGAACGCCCTACTCACATATCTTTAGTTCACCAAACACCACAAAAAGTCATGGATCTCCCTAAGGTAAAACGCTCATTATCCGGAGGTAAACTAGTCCCCCGTTCGGGTCTCCGGGTGGGGACTGCTTTAGGGGATTCATGGCGCAAGTTGAAATATAGGGATTTAAATATTGGTACGTGGAACGTAAGGAGTTTAAACACAGCAGGGGGGCTAATAAAATCGGTCGCGAATGAGGTAAATGGGTACAATTTGGATGTCGTGGCTCTGCAAGAGGTTCGCTGGCCAGGGGAGGGCTCGATGAGGCAAGGAAACTACACTATTTGGTATGGAGGAAGCGGGAATCATTGTTTAGGTACCGGGTTTCTAATTAGGAGTAGATTACTATCCGCTTTGAGGGACGTACAATTCTTTAGTGATAGAATTTCGGTAGCTACATTTCACGGACAATGGTTTAAAATCGCATTAATAAACATAAATTGTCCGACCGAAGACAGTGACGATGAAGTCAAAAGTGAATTTTACGATAAACTCGAATGGGTTTATGATAAACTACCGCGAAACTACATGAAAATGATTGTAGGTGACGCGAACGCAAAGGTAGGAAGGGAAGAAGTTTATATTCCGACGATTGGTAAAGAAAGTTTGCACGAATATAGTAATGATAATGGGATCCGTCTGATAAACTTTGCCATCTCGAAAAACCTGATAATTAAAAGTACGACGTTTAAACATAAGGATATTCATAAATATACTTGGACATCACCGGATTCGCAAACACGAAATCAAATCGATCATGTCTTGATACAACACAGCTGGCAAAGCAGTATAATTAATGTACGGTCTTATCGCGGAGCAGAATGTGGGTCGGATCATGAATTAGTAATCGCGAAACTTCGACAAAAACTTAATATAAAAAAGAGAAAAGAAAACCGTTTCGATTTTGAGAATTTTAATTTGGAAAAATTAAAAAATCCATCAATTAGAAACCAATTCGAGCTAGATGTTAAGAATAGGTTTGAAGCTTTAGAGCTTCCTGACGAGGACCACGAGGATATTGACAAGTTATGGATAGAGATCAGGGATAATATTAAAGCGGTCGGTAACTCGTGTCTAGGAAAAAAGGAAAATAAGAATAACAAACCGTGGTTTGATGAAGATTGCTTAAACATGTGTGAAAAAAGAAAAGCCGCTAAATTAAAAGCTCTAAATAATCCTAGCGAAGACAATCTGGAATACTTCCGAATCTCAAAGAACGAAACGACAAAATTGCTCAAAAATAAAAAAAGGGAGTATCTTAAAAATAAAATAATTGAAATAGAAACTAATAGAATCGAAAATAACGTAAGAGACATGTACAAAGGTATAAACAGATCACGTAAATATGTAGGGCCCGTAACGTCTGGAATTAGGGATGATAATAACAATATTCTGACCGATCCGGTTGACATATTGAATAAGTTTAAGGACCACTTTGACAATATTTTAAATACGGGAAATTATGATCTGTGTCCTCCTTCTGAGTACCAGAGTGCTGAACCGTTAATAGAAGGACCAAGTAAAGAGGAAGTTGAAGTAGCTATCGGAAAATTAAAATCATATAAAGCAGCGGGAATCGATAATATTCCTACTGAACTAATTAAGGCATGCGGGGAAGCTGGAGTTTCTAAAATACATCGGTTGGTTAAAAAGATCTGGGTGAACGAGAAATTACCTGAAGAATGGAAAGAATCTATTCTTATTCCGATTCACAAAAAGGGTCCGAGGACGGATTGTAATAACTATCGAGGAATTTCACTCCTTCCGGTATGTTATAAAATATTCACTTTAATCTTAACCAGTCGAATCACGGAATACGCCGAGGAAATTATCGGAGACTACCAATGCGGATTTAGACGGAATCGTTCGACTATTGATCAAATATTTTCTTTACGGCAAATATTAGAGAAAAAATTGGAGTATAACGGTATTGTTCACCAGCTGTATATAGATTTTAAAAAGGCTTACGATTCTATTGACCGCCAGAAACTGTATAATATTCTAATCGAGCAGGGGATTCCAAAAAAACTAGTAAATCTAGTCAGGATGTGCTTGACGGAGACACTCAATAAAGTTAGAATCGGTAATAATTTGTCCGAAAAATTTGAGGTTCGTTCGGGCTTAAAACAGGGGGATTCTCTTTCGCCTGTCCTGTTCAATTTGGCATTAGAACATGCCATTAGGGAGGTAATGCGAACCGAGAAAGGGTTGGATCTGGGCGGGACAACATCCGTGCTGGGCTATGCTGATGATCTGGTACTGTTAAGCGAAGACGTTGAAACTATAAAACTAAATACGACAACGTTAATGAAAGCCGGTAAAGAACTAGGACTCGAAATAAACGTGGATAAAACAAAATATATGGTTAGCTGCAAAAATGGCGATACTACTGGTGATATCGATATAGATGGTAATATGTTTGAACAGGTAGATAAATTTAGGTATCTAGGTTCTACGATAACTAGAAAAAACGAAATTGAAGAAGAGATTAAGGTTAGACTGAAGGCGGGGAATGCTTGTTATTTTTCTGTGACAAAACTACTTAGTTCGCGCCTCTTGTCCCGAAACTTAAAAATTAGAATCTATAAAACAATTATCTTGCCTACAGTTCTTTATGGATGCGAAACTTGGCCGCTTACATTAAGGGATGAGCAGCGTCTTAAGGTTTTTGAAAATAAAGTATTGCGTAGAATATTCGGACCGAAGAAGGATGAGTTAACCGGAGAGTTCAGACGGTTACACAACGCCGAATTGCGTGAGCTGTATCCGGTTAATATAATTGAGGTAATTTCATCGCGGCGAATCAAATGGGCTTGTAAAGTTGTTGGGCTTAGTAACGAGAGAATTCCTAAAAGGTTAATATTTGCTGTGCCGAATGGTAAGCGTCCGAGGGGTAGACCGAAGCGAAGGTGGGAAGATTGCATTAAAGCTGATCTGAAGGGACTGGGTTTGGACGGCGAACGGTGGAGGGAGGTGTGTAACAACCGATTTGTGGTGTCGGCATCAAGCCTTCGGGTTCGCTAAGCCTTATTATTATTATTATTATTGAAACATCTTATCACAATATCGATAAAAAAGTTTATACTTTTTGAGTTATTCGGAATTAAATTTTACCATCCCTTATAACTTTTTTTTCAGCTTCTTTTCGTTGAAGTATGTCACATAGATAAATTTAAAGGGTGTCAAGAAAATGACTGTAGCGAAGTTTCATTGAAATTGGAACATTTGTTTAGGAGCTACAGTCTATAGCAACGCAGGTTTTTCGGCCGCCATTTTGAAAGTAAAAGGCGGATAGTAATGTCGATGAAGGAGGATCATCCTAGGGTGACCTCTGATTTTATATCCAAATTTGAAAGAAATCGGTCGTCTAGTAGTTTCGGAGAAAATGCACGGATGGCGGACGGACAAAAAAATGTTTATTCGTTTTTCGAATTCTACGCATCCTGAAATGTGAAACCTCAAATTTTGAGAGGGGGTTAAGTTTTTGAATTTTTTGGTCGTCACAATGGTTGATTATTGAAAATAATAAACCAAAAAATTACTTGGTATAATTATATACTGATTTTCTTCACAACCTGATCTAGATAAAATTATCTGAGGAAAAAAAAAAAAACAGTCTGTCCATAAGTCGACTACAATATATTTAAAAGTTTGTCCCTGCTTTATTACTAGTGACTGCAAATAACGGTGAGAAGATGGGGGAGCTGGGCATGACTAACTGCTTAAATTCTTCTTGAAACAATGGTCTATATAATACAAACAAAAAATCAAATCACACTTCCTAAAATTAAGATGTTCGAACAAACCTATTTTCAGTTTTGTATATCATTATAGTTGATAAATGCTTAAGAAAATTTCCAACCACCCAATATAATTGATATATGTAATATTCAACGCCTTTTTCTTAATTTTGTCGGTACATGTAATTACATAAAATCATTATTGTGACTGAGAAATTGTGAATATTAGAGTGATCAAATAGTTTGTTATAATACAGATAAATTTAACTAGTTAAATATTTACAAAATATCCCTTTCCATGAAAAGAAATAGTTAGTGGATGATTGTATTAGAATATTAATATCAATATGAAAGCAATTAAAACTAGAAAAGCACAAAAGAAGAAATGTGGCAAAGATCAGATCAGCGAGCAAATAAGAAATCCCATTTGGCTATTGGTATTACCAGTTGCCGCTAGTTTCATCTATGATGGTAAATTCCCAAAGATGTGACGTAACAGCAGCATCAGCCCTGCAATTTGATCTTTCTTTAACAAACATTTATCATTCAGCTTCATTATATTTCCATCATGGTCGACCAAACATCAGCTCGAAAAAAAAATGTGTGTGGTTTAATAAGGAATAAGTAAATAGAGTATATGACAGTAATTAATATTGTTAGAAAAAAATATTATAAAAATATTACGAGTAAAAAGGTTGAGATTTATTCGGTCTTTCTTCGAGGAAATTAAAATCAACTCCCCAAGACTGGACTGAAGCTGGCTAATAATTATAATTCATTATTATTTCCACTAATTGTATATAACAACTTAGTGAAAACATTATTTGTAATATGTATTTTTTTAAAACGTTAATTATCGGCAGTTATTTTAATATTATTTTTGTTTGGTTTTGGAATCAATAAAGCCATGAAATATAATATTTAATAAAATTTCTACAGCATTCAGTCATTCCGATTTAAGGTAATTAATAATTATATTCATTTGAATTAAACATAAAATTTTCACTGCGAGAACAAAATTTTCATAACACCAGGAAAATAATTACAGTTTGATTTTTACAAACTCCAATCCAACAATTTTTATGTATCGTAATTAGAACAATAACACAGACTCAAATAAATTTCAAGCGGGGTTGAAATAAAAGTGAATGAATTGAATAAGTAATTTAATATAATATTGAAGAATATAAAATTATCCAGCTTACCAAGAATGCTCGGCATTGACACCAATCTAGAGAGAGAAAAGAAAAAATTACACATTATCAAACAAAATAGTATTAATACGAATAATTGTGCTAATGTAATATAACGTCGACCCATCAGTAATGTTAGTTTTAACTAAGGTTAAATAAATAAAACAATACATAGTTTTTTAAATAACTATGTTGTTTGTTTTTTTTGAGGTTTTTTATTTATATAAATAGGCATTACAGAAAAAAATAACATTATTGATGGATTTTTAAATGCCAATAACAAGCTGGAACACAATGCTTTACGAATAAGATAAAAAAAACATAAAAAATAAATTATCTTCTTATTTTTCTTTTTTATTAGGAAGCTTACGTTTATAATTTTTTTCATATTTTAGGCAATAAAACTTCCAATTTTCTTCATATTTTTTTATTTATGCTTTTTGTCTCTTACGTTTCGGTACAATTTTCCCATCATCAGAGTAATATTTTTATTTTTACTGAAATTATGAACATTTTCTATATTAATTTCTATTTAACAATATCATTCCAATTTATCTATTTAAATATGAAAAAATGAAATAAAAAATAAATTATAAGATTATTACACATACTTTTCCATTAGTTCCTACACAAAGAGTGAAAGACTTGTCAAACCATCGATCATAACCTTTTCCATGGAGAAGAGTACGGCCATACTCGTCCAACTTACTGGGTACATTCTAAAAGATAAATTACCAAATCTAAAATACAGATTTTAATATAATACAAAATTTAACTAATGAGTAACAAATTCATTCAAAGTATTATTAAGGCAAACATTTACCATACCGAAAACCATAGCCTGTTATATGTCAATTTGTGTAGTTAAAATTTAAAATAATTAACATTGTTTAAATGATACACAATCATTACCTTATCAAATTCGTACGGAACATCGTCAAGGCAAACAATGAAAGCAGCTTTTTCAATAGCATCAAGAGCCTGCCTGTTGACACCCTTAAAGAAGTGCTCCTGCCGAGTTTGGGCCCAGTGAGCACGATGACCTGCGGTGAGAGCGGCTAATCTCTCCTCGCCTACACATGGGGGAGTATCGTTGTCCAGGATCGCTTGCATCTGTCTACAATAAATAATAGCTCTATAACTCTATAACTATTGAAAAAGCCGTTAGAATAGTTATATGTTCTCCAATGTTACATCAGTAAACTAAACACAAACTAACACATCACTTTATTTATTCAACAATTAGCCTACGTTTTGTTTTTCAAAAGTATATAGAAATGTCGTAAAAATCAGAGTTCAAGTATAGTTCAATTAAAATATGAATGATCCCGTGTTAATCTCTTTATCTATGTTAAATCTTTTTTAATTTTTAAATTTAGTGTCAGAAGATTTCTTCACCACCAGCCTTTATCACTTTGTAAATAAATTAAAATGGCTCCTAACTAGTTTCAATTGGAATTTAATTATCTAATTTTGAAAATCTCGAAAAGAAATGGCAAATGAATAGATAGAGCGATTTCAGCCATTAATAAAATCACAAAATTTATAATAATAATTGTTTTTTAAAAATAAATATTATTATTTATTTTTGCCATTTTCATTTTTGACTGATCACTCCAACTATCCTTCTCTTCATTATACAATAATTATATTTTGCTAAGACATAAGTATAAATGGACGAGAGAAAGAGAAAAGTACAATAAAATTGAATGGCTGCTCAACTGTGTTGAGTTGCTAAATCACTCAGCATACTAATCAGTCAAAATTGATATCATTTAACAAAATAGAATACATAGGATTAAGTATTACGAGACCATCATCCAATGTACTAGATGTTACAATTCATTCATCACCATTAAGACTTTCTTCTCACTTTTGTCTGCTAAGTCCACAACAAAGCAACCAGAATTAATACAGATGGTAAAAAATTTCATTATAATTCATTACCATTACCATTACCTTCGTCCTTATCCTTGAACTTTGGAATGATACATACAAAATTATTTTATAGCTCCAATTCTATTAATGATCAACTTTTATTTGACTTTGAAACAATCTTTCATAAATTTAATTAAAATAATAAAAAAATTATTTCATCAAACAATGATCATTAAAAAAAAATATTATCTTAGGTTTTTTGAAGTGAAAACTTCTTTAGGTGTGTTTCAAACTTTTTTGTAGAGAGTGAATTAGATTGAGCCGTCAGATTTCTGATGTGTAACGGCCCGGTAAAGTCAGCTAGAGTCGACTAATTGAAGTGTTTTTGTATATGGATTAAAATATCTCAGAAATTATAAATCAGACCTGTGTACTGTAAGCAAGAGAATTGTTCAGCATTTCATCCTCTCTATAATGAGATATTCAAAATTGTATCTTGACGGGACGCCGTGTTAGAGATGTGAAAAGACAAACATAGTGTCGAAAACCAAATTGTAACAAGTTTTATTGAAGATATGAACTAAAATATCTCAGAAACTGAAAATCGGACCTGCATACTGAAAACAAGAGAATTGTTTCGCATTTCGTTCTCTCTGTAACGGGCTATTATTCAAAATTAATCCTCAAAAATAAATTATTAAAATATCTCAGAAACTAAAAATTTGCATACCCTAAGCGAGGGAATTGTTTAGCATTTCATCCTCTTTATAATGAGCTATTATTTATAATTTATATTTCACATTAATCTTGCCTCGTTGATGTTTTCACTTCTATTGTGTGGTTTAAAGCATACACCTTAGTTTTAACTTTGCTACTGCTACTAGATATGAAGAATATATATTGAAATTAGGTTGTTATGCAATTTTGAACAAATTTATGTGTTTCAGAACACCATGAGTTCAAAAAATTATTTTTTTTTTACAATTGACCTCTGCATTTTTGTGTGCAGGATAGACCGATATTATTATGTTTAGTGAAACTACAAAAAAAAAAAAAAGGTCAATAACTCACATTTCTAATTCACAAGGAAGTAGTATTCTTCTGTTATGGTGAATAATAACCTTAAAAAATCTACCACGATTGTAAACAACAATGTGCTTTGAGTCTAGTAGGTGAACTATTTTATCAGTCTCAACACCAGGAACTCTTGTCGTATTAAACATTCTTTCATACTGCCAAGAGCACAATGGAACAATACCCTGAAGCATGATCTGGAACATATGACAACATTTCAAACAGTATTCTTAGGTTAACATTATATCCTAACATCCTACATAACAAATCTCTACCTCAGAGTACATAAGCAGTATAACTAGTCACAAAATAATAAAAGAATAATATGAGTTTTGATGGCACATGATTTTATGACAATTTTACAAACAGTAATTCGCAACTTTTTCAAAATTTTTTGTGTAAATTCTTGACTAGCAACATTTCTACAAACATGGAATAATAAACATGCAAATGAAGAAAAGTTTTATTACTAGAATGTTATGAAGTTCAAACAAAAAAAAGTTACAAGTTATTATGCAATGATATTATTTCCAGTTTTTTTTTTTTGTTTAGTATAATGATGATAATGGATTAACTGAGGTCCATGGATTAACCTGGTTTGACAAGTGGCCTTGATGCTAAATCTAAATTTTTAAAAATGTGCATTCCAAATTAATTTTCAATTTTTCCAATCATACAAGAGCCCTGAGCTATTCTCAATTTTCCCAAGGAAAGTATTCAATGGGATTAGATTGGTATTGTTTATTTGAGAACGGTATATTTATAATATGCTATTTCTTATCCATTGTTCATTTTTCGTCCAGACCCAAAAGCAAAAATATCTTAGGGTTATATATAACTTTGGGACTTTCTAAACCTTAAGGAATAATAGTCATCTTATAAATATTTTTTGAAGATCTAACTTCAACATAACAATAAATTCCTTGACTAATATTTATGCCAATTACAAAAGAATTTGTGTATGGATGGAAAGAAGTAGTATGACCAGCACACTTCAACCTTAAAAGAAGAGGATCCACTCCTGGAAGGAGAAGGAGTGGAAGAAAAATATATAAACAACTCATTATATGAATACCTGAAGTTGTACAGCTGACTACAATATGTACCTAGTCCTGTCATAAATATTGTTACACGGAAATATACACATATTTCAACAGAAAAATTATTTTTTTCAAAAACTTTAAAAAATCTCTGACCTACATTTTCCATCTTTGTGTAAGGTGATCACAGCTATTCGGTTTTCTTTATCACCCCATGTTAACTGAGCGAAAGAAAAATACAAAGTAATTGGAATTATTATCCTGACATGAAACTAAGGATATAAACAAAGTTCAACTTTTCTAACAGTATTTATAGCAGAGCTATTAATGCCAAATCTAGCTAATTGTTGACTTACTGACCTCCCTGTTGTTGCACATAATGATAACGAATGAATTAATATACCTTGTTATTATTATTGTATATTTTTTAAAATTTTCACAAAGAAGTCTTCTCAGAATTCCCAAAGATGTTAACCAGGTTTAACAATTAGTAGTTAATGTTCCAATACTATCTTTAAAATTTTTCATAATATGAAGTAAAGTAATAATGAAAACAACGTAATATGAATGTTTACCAATCAATCTAGCTTACATACTATCAAAAATTACTTTGAATATGTGAACCATACCGGCTCCAATTCCTGTCGCTCAATCAGCCTTCGAAACTGAAGCATTGCATATATTACAACAGCAGCCCTAGATGCTTGGTTGGTAGTAGGATGCATAAATAGCGTGTCTATTCCATAGAAATTAGAATTGATCATTAAAGGAGATCTTCCACGCAAGTAAACATATTCTTCCCACCAATCAGAGACATAGTTTGTAGCCCACCTGAAATATTAATACTATAAGCATTAAGAGTCAAAATAATTTGATCATTAACTAACCATAAATAAAGGTTACTATTATGTAACAGTTTAAAAATAATTATAAAAAAAAAGTAAATGGATAGACAAGGAACTGATTTCAAAATGTGAAAATTAAGATAAACCATTTTAGAGACGGTTAAGTAGTCGACTGTTAAATTATAAGGATGAAATAAAATCATCAGGAATTTCAGTCAAAATTTGTATAATGGATTAACTGACGTTTCGACCGAAACATGTGGCTCATCATCAGGGTAAATAAACTTAATAAATCAAAACAAGAGCTCTAAAAATATGTTTAAAGAGAAAGGAATATTTACCAAGATTTCAATACCAGATATCTCTGCAGTTTTACACCAATACCACTTTGAAATTCTAGGGCAAGTTTTTCCATTCTTGCATACTCTTTATCATCTAATAATGGTCTTACACTGCGAAGGTACTGAAACAATGTTTATAAATTAAGACAATCATGTTTATTTTGTTGTAATAAATTAAATATTAAAAGAAGGAAATGAAAAATATTAACATGTATACAAATAAAATATTCCTCTAATGTTAAAAAAAAATGCCAATGGTAGACAAAGAATCAAATACCATCATTATTTCCTACCTTACCAACAACTTAATTTATTAATTTTATTTTCTAGAAAATAAACAGCTATTACATAAACATAAGAATGAAAATAATTGTTAAACATAATTGTATCTGTATTATTTATTTATCTATTTTGCTTCTACCGCTAAGAGTCAATGGCATTTCAAATTTATATTCTGCGGTAGAATTCTAATTTTCTTAAGTATTTAAACAATTTTTCTATTTCTTCTTCATCAACCTGGAAGATTTTTTCCATTGCTGCTGCTCCCATCTTTAGTTCAGACCTTGAAGTAGTGTAGCTACTACGTTCTAGAAGTACAAGTTGTACATTGAAGCTTGTAATTCTCACCACAGCTCTCCGTGGGAAAAACTCACTATGTCCAATTCTAGGAGATAGAGTATCACTTATTCTTAATTTCTCTAAGTTTTGCTAAACTCATATCCTGTTTATTATTTAATTTATTCTTGAACGATAAGTCAAGTGATTTGTCCAGTCTTCTCTGCAGATGGTCTCAATTATTATGGCTTGTAGATCATCTGGATGCTGAGCTGAGTTGGCAGCAGCATCGGCTCTCTCATTACCACAGATACCACAATGTTTATTATGTGTGAAGTTGGAAGAATTGAATTAGATAGTTTTAGAAAATTATATGAGAATATTCTAAAAATTCATGGATTTTATGTAATCAAGATGACATTGTGGGATATTACCCAAATGATGTTCTAAAAGCATGTCAAAATTCAAATATAATTAATATAACTTTTAAAAGACCTACCCTTGCCATAGTATCTTTAACCGAAGGCAACGGTAACCTTGGCAATGATCCTTGATAACTGTAGAGCATTGGTCTGCTCGGCCCAGACACAAGTTTGACCCAAAAGAGCCATGCACGGGTCTTGAAAGAAGGCTTTCTTCCTGGCCCACGAGATTCATACATCCATCCTGCAATATCAAGCATTTCAAAATATTAACATAAGTATAATTATGAAAAAATAATAAAACAATACATAAAAACACAGTGGAAAATAGACCTTAAACAAATAATTCAGAATATTTATTTTTCTTGTGGATAAAAATCAACAATAGAAAACAAATAAATGCTTTATAAATAAGGAGTCGAGCTTTGGGGTTCTAGTAAATCAAATTCCTCTTGTATCCAATCCTTGCAATCCAAAATCCTTCATAAAATCCTCAATGCTCCCTACTTTAACACAAATAAAATAATCCATAACGACCTTCATGTACCATATGTTTCCGATTTAGCTCAATCCAGATACCTATCCTTCCATAATAAACTTCTGAATCCTCCAAACTCTCTTGTTTCTAGCTTTGCTTACTCTTCTATTCCTGATAACCCTCCAGGAGGTCTGAAAAAGGATGGCCTCGTGACCTTCTAATATAGAAATATAATTGGAGTGCTACCAATGGGTAGTTTCTCTTCATGTTGTACATATCATGTTACTAATTTCATATTTACTTGTTGTATTTTTCATTTAATACAGTTGTAAATATCAATAAATAAAATAAAATAAATAAATAAGGAGAACAGAGATTGATAAATATCCTTATTATTCAAATCAATTATGAATAATCGAAGAACTGCACTGAAATATTTAGTTTGAAAATAACAAGTACTTTCACATTTGTTTAAATGAACAAATTAGTTACTTGCTTATAGATTATCTTGGCTCCACTTCTTAAATAAACAAGATTGGTGATATAAAAGAGCAAAAACTTAAAAAGAGAAATACAATCCAAAAGCAGTATGCATAGGGACGTCATTTATTGTCTTCTTGGACATTTCGTCTCCAGTCTTTTGGAATGATGATGAGAGATGTGTTGCATTTGGTATGCATATATGTAGTTTAGATTGAGTTTTGATGATGTCTGAAGTAGTGAAATGTTGATGGGTTAATTGTTTATCTGTATTTTAAGATAATGAAGGGTTTTTTGTAGTTTGATTTTTCCAGTTATATCCTCACAACAAATTAAAATTACTACTGCTTTTTACAATTAATTTATTATAACACCATTTATATAAATATAGATAACTTGTCACTAACGACAGTTATAGATCTAGAATCATCACTATGACTCCTAGAATAATCCCATTTTTCATAATTAATAAATGAAAACATTTAAAAAATCAATTTTATGGTTATGATACTTATTATTAGTGATTTATAATAAATAAAAAATTAAGATAAAAATTTTTCATTGACTAACTAACCTTTATACATAAATAGAGCCTTGAGGGCATACTTCAAGGAAAGGGAAAAGCCAAAGAAGCCAAGTGCACTGAGGCCAGCGCATGCTGCTATCTCATACTTTATATCTTTGCTGGAAATTTAAAAAGAACAGTTTCTTAATCATTAATACTAAATATTGAAATACATCTTGCCTACATATGATCGAAAATAAAAATACTTTATACCTACAATCATTTTAATGAATTATAACTAATTATATTAATGGAACATGGGCATGCAGTTCTAACAAAGTTAGATTTTAATTTTAAGTAAAATGAATTTTAAAGTTAGATGACAGAATAAAGATTTCAAACCTTCAATAATAGCTTTATTATCTTAAAAATTTCATCATACATATAAAATAATTTTGTGATTTATCATGACAGTTTTGAAAGTATACATTAGGATCAAATAATAATGATAATTTATTTTAAAGGTTTTAATTATTAATATTTACTCCTAATCAAATCTATCCTTAGAAAAAGTTTATTAACACAACTCACCAGTTCAATTTTTTAACATCTACCAATTTTTACTATAACTATGACTATTGTTGTTAATGTTCCCATTTATAAATTATTCATGCTATTTTGTATTAAACTTCAAAAATATATTTAATGTTCGGAATTCAAAGAATTTCATTTCAAGAATTCAAGAAAATATCATAAAAACAGATTAGACTTTACCTAATTAATAACAGAGTATGAAAAAAAGTACCCTATCTTTAGTTCAGAGTCTAGTTTTATCTATTTATTTCTTCAGTGTATTGTTTATTTTATTTTTTGTTATGAGGAGTTCGGCTCTAGCCGGTGACTAAGAAACATCGGCTCCACGGCGGTGTCCTTTTTGATAGAGTTTTATTCGCCCAATTGAGCCAAAACTTGACATGTGACCGAAGACGTATGCTGGAGACCTGCTGCTTGAATTTCGAAAAAATCAAGCAAAGAACTTCGCCAGGACCAGGAGGTAAAGAACTCAACGTGCCTGTGGGACCGGGGTCCTTATCGCTGTGCAGAATAGGACTTGTCGGCCCCCTCCACCTCTCAGCGGCCGCCTCCACCCAGCAAGGTCAGTGGCGTCTTATCAATACCAACAGCTGTCACCGAAAGAGCCCAACCTATTTTGTTGTTATCATTTTTTTTTCTCTCTCCTCTCTTATTTAAAAAAAAAAAACTGATCACAGGAAAGCTTGATTATTGAAATTAATGAATTATTATTTATAAGAATTAGTATTTAGCTTTATCAAGTGATCTATTTATTCAATTTTATTTATTATTTATTAAGTGGACGTGGGTGTGTTTATTTAATTTTTAACAATATATTTTATATATTTAATTTGTTTTTATTCATTAACTTATTTATTAATACATTACTATTTAACCTAGATTTTATTAATTGTATATTTTAATTTGTTTTTACTTGTTAACTTATTTATTAATCCATTATTGATTAAGTCATATTATATTAATTGTAGATTTCAATTTGTTTTTAATAAATTGATTTTATAGATTTTAACGTTTTACCATAATTTATTTTATATATTTTAACTTAGTTTTAAGCAATTTTAATTTCATTTTATATTTTATCTTAGTTTTAAGATAGATTTTAACTTATTGATTAACCTTTTTAACTTCGGCTCTATTGATTTTATATTGTGACTTGTTTTTAATAAATTGATTTTATAGATTTTAACGTTTTACCATAATTTATTTTATATATTTAAACTTAATTTTAAGCAATAGAATCTATAGATTTTAATTTCATTTTATATTTTAGCTTAGTTTTAAGATAGATTTTCACTTATTGATTAACCTTTTTAACTTGGGCTCTATTTATTTTACATTTTAACTACTTTTAAGCATTTTATATTATTAATCTGATATTGATGTGTGTATGTTGGCATATATGCATGTCTCTCCCGTTTAGTTTTTATTTATTTGTATACGGGTCCACTCTCCTTTAGATGGTTTGTTTTAACCATGCGTGTAGTACGCATGGTCTCTAGGGGGGATATTGGATTTTGAGTGGACCTAAGGACAATGAATGAAGTCGAGATTGGCCAGAGGGTATGGGTTCTGAGAACTGGAGGACCTGCTCAGGAGGCTGTTGTTGCCTCTGTGATGTCTGTGGATGCCGCGGAGGGCGGCGAAAAGAAACTTGTAAAAGTCGAATGGCCAGACACAGAAGGTGTACTATTGGGAAAGACAGTTTCGATAGATGACGTCTTCCCAGCATTGCCAAATGTTCCACAGAATGTCGAGGAAGCGAACAGAGAGCAGGAGAAAGAAGTTCTACGCCCTAATAATAAAGTTTGTCCCATATGTGGGCTTTCTTTTAAGGGTGAAAGAGGTCTAGGAACCCATATTGCCAAAAAGCACCCCAGGGAGGCTAATACCAATACACTGAGGGGCATAGTGAAAAATGTTTTAGGGCCTAAAAATGGAGAGGGTGAGGTATCAAAAATAAAAGAGGACATTATCGGATGGTCTACTGTGTTCAAGAACCTCTCAAAAGAAAGCACGATAAATATTGCGGATTTTGATGAGGCCGTAGGCAGGTTCCTGAAATTTCTCAAGAATATCAATGCGGAACTGCCAGGTCCCCAGCACCCTGCCGTCAAATTTTACAGATTGAGGAAAAAAAATAAAACTAAAGTAACTGACAAGGGTGCTGGACAAGTCTCAAATCCGCAAAGAGCGAACAAAGTAGACAGGAGTCGTCGGCAAGAACAGTATCAATATGAGGTTGCACAATATAATTATTATAATAAAAGGAAAAAGGTCGTGCAAACCGTAATGAATGCCGACGCTCCTAAGCGGTGTCCTCTGAAGATGGCCGATATCGAAAAACATTATAGAGACCTCTTTGAGAGCGAAAATCTCCGCAAGCGTGCGGATTACGAACAGTGCGCCCCGATGCCAAATTTGGTGTCCATTGATCTAGAAGCCGTCAAGAGAGCCATTAAATCAACATCAATGGACACATCGCCGGGGCCTGATGGAGTTCTGATCCGCACGATTAAATATTTTGATGTAGCAAATATTATCGGAATAATTGCGGAGATAATGCTGAAGGTGGCCTATGTTCCAGAACCACTTCGACAAGGGCGCACAATACTAATCTATAAGGGGAAAGGTGATGTAAACAAAATCCCTTCCTGGAGACCCATCACCATTTATTCTATTGTGCGCCGAATCATAGAGAAGGTTCTGGACCATGAACTAAGAAAGCAGGTCACCTTCCACAGGAATCAGAGAGGCTTTATAAAAGGCCTCCCGGGAACGCACGTCAACGCAAGGATTATCGACGCTGTATTGAAAGATGCAAAGATTATGAAAAAAGATTGTGCGGTGGTATTCCTTGACGTTGTCGGTGCTTTTGACAATGTTGGCCACAATCATATCGTGAGCTCCTTGGAAGCAAGAGGTGTGTCGCCGGATCTTAAACGTGTTATATCGGCTCTCCTCTGCACCAACACAATCAAAATTAGTAACGGTGTTCACGCAACTAGCCAAATCAAAGTGCTGCGCGGGGTACCCCAAGGCGGCCCCTTGTCGTCGTCGCTCTTCAACCTGGCCATCGATCATCTCTATCGCGACCTGTGCGATGAAGAATTTTCCAAAAAATTTGGATACAAGTTAAAAAGTGACCAAGGTTGTGTGGTCCTCACAGGTTTCGCGGATGACCAGGCCGTGTCAGCGCGTGACAAGGGGGCTGCAGAAAGAGTGATCGGCAGCGTTCAGAGGACTTTTGAGGAAATTGGTTTGGCTATTAATCCTCAAAAAAGCGTGGGCATCGTTCTAAATAAAGGAGAGCTGGAAACCGCGATGCTCTCCCTTGAGAACGGAGAGTACATCCAAACATTGCAGAATGGAGATACAATCAAGTATTTAGGATGTACATTCTCGGGAGAGCTACAGTTCAACGAAGATTCGGTGACCAAATTGAACGAAAATCTGAATAAACTGGTTACCTCTCCCTTGCTGAAGCCGGAGCAGAAGCTAAACATTGTCAACCAATATCTGTTCCCGGGTCTTACTTACCCTCTCCAAACTGCGCCCCTCACAAAGCTGCGTCCTGCCATACTTGACGGCATCGACACCATGATTCGCAGGAGTGTGAAGGCTATTGTTGGACTCCCTGCGAATACCTCCACGGCGATGTTGTACTCTCCCAGGAGGTATCCAGGATTAGGATTAATCCGCTGCCAATGGGAGGCTCCTCTACAACATTGGTCCATTGCTCAACGACTGTCCAATGTGCCCGATGCCCTTTTTCAGTCGATCTTTGATTATTCGGCTGAGGTTGATGAATGTGCCGAGAGATTGGGGGTTGATCGGGGTATTCGGAATATGAGAGCTCTACGGCAGTCGCTTCGAGAAAATTCGTTTGAGGAATGGACCAATTGCAGGTGGCAGGGCATTGGAGTTCGCCATTTTAAAGAGACCCCGAAAGCCAACAAATACATGTATGATAAGCAAGTACTTTCTGGGTCTGAATGGTCAAATGCCCTGAAACTGAATATTAATTATGCACCCCTGCGTGGAGTCCCAGGTGTCAGCGGACAGGTAAGAGAAGTTGGGTCCCTCTGTCGCAAATGCGACAGAGAGCCAGAAACACCAGCACATGTGCTTGGAAAATGCCCCAACAACTCCCTCCTTATAACGCGCCGTCACCACAGAGTCAAACATGAACTGATGAGGCTCCTTATAGAGAGAGATTACGCCTGTTTCGAGGAAGTATATTGTATAGATACGGATGGATCCACCCGATATGCCGACATTGTGGCATTCCCTAAGACGGGAAAGTCGGCGATGATTTTGGATCCGACCGTGAGATATGAGACCAACGACCTCGATCAGGCAGGAAAAGTGGAAAGGGAGAAAAAACAGACATATGAGAAATGCATCCCTTTCCTTAGTGAAAAGTTCCGCGAGAGTTTCGGGCCGAGAGAGTTCCACGTGAGAGGCCTTTGGTTCGGAGCTCGCGGAACGATACCAGACTCAACAAGGAGCTTCATGGAGGGCCTTGGTGTCGACATAAAGGACGTGGCAAGGTTGGCAGAGAACATAATCCTTGACTCCCTGGGAATTATCCATCACCATGTGCATGGATAGAGAGTTTTTCATGGGGGGAGGCATGCGTGTTTTGCATCATTTTTACATTATTTATTGACCACGTCCACTGCACTTTATGTATTTGTATGCATGTTATGAATTAGGTTAGGAAAAGAGAGGAGAAAAATGTATAGAGTGAGAGAAGGAACAGAAAGGGATGTATAGTGCTAATAAGTGAATTAAAGAAATAGTAAAAATAAAATAAATAAATAAATAAAATAAAAAAATAAATAAAAATATAGGATAAAAAATTATGATAAAAAAAAAATATATATAGATAAAAAAAAAAAAAAAAAAATTGTATATTATGCTCATATATGTTGTTAATACTATATAATTGTATATTAGTTTTGGAAAATTGTCTGTAGCGATTAATAAGTATGCTGTGTTTAAAGCAACCCAATGTAATTGGGCAGCACCCTTTTATGATAATAAAGTGATTCTCTCTAGTTTATTTTTCACTTTTTCAACTAAATATATTTTGGTACCTATGTATCATCTATTTATTTTTGGAAATATCTCTTTTCTTTTCGATGCTTACAGTTCGATCTGCTGAAATACAAAACGAATAGTTCATAAGATGCTAAGATGTAAACATTAGAGGATGTTTGTTGAAGAAACTGTAAATGTTTCTTTTTAAAAGAATTATTTCTATGAGATAAAGACGAATCGTTTATTCCTTCATATTTCTGGTAAAATATTTTTTAATAATATTTGACTGTATTAATAAATTTAGTTATATTTTCCTGATAAAGGTATTAAAACTTGTTAAAATCAATCAATTAAGGCAATAAGATTTGAGCGTACAAGGATAAAATGGTTGAATAATAGCCTATCATTGGCCCAACCGTGCTTTTTAATCATTAACTCATCCTAAACAGAACATATTAAATAAAATAGTTCATTGGTTACCTTGGAATCAGTCTTAAGATTTTGTCCAATCCAGGTATTTCTACACCATAGTAATGGGAACCAGAAACAACAGCAGCTGTTGCAAAAAGAGAACTGATCGGAACAGGATAAAGTCCAGTCTTCAGATTGTTCTATCAACAAAGTTTGAAATATTTAGTCAAGAAATGAATATATATTTCTATTTGATAGTAAACGTAAAGCAAAACAGTTAATTGTATAATACATCTCACAAGATAATAAATGTTTTTTGAATTTCTTTCTTTTTTTATGTGGCATTATGCACTGTGGCTTTGTTAGGCCTTTTGTACGCTATAACTTAGCAGTCACAAATATTTTTAAAAATAAACATTTATATTTTAAATTGAAACAAATTATAACAGTATAAACAAGACATTTTTTATTTATATAAAATATACAGTGGCTAGATGAAATTAATTAGCTCCATAAATTTAAGAATGCCTTTCATTCAATAGAATACTAATAAATACAATTAGGCAATATCAAGTTTACAGGTTTGAAATCAAATAGATAGGTGTTTACAGAAATGTTAGCATCAGTGCATACACACATACAAGTAGGCATATATAAAATCAATGGGTGGTGTAATTTATTATGAGATAATTTTTATTAGACATTTTATTACATTAGAAATCTTATAGCTATATACAAATCATAAATAAAGTAATCTTATGCATAAATTACTCATACAGATGGTCAGGAAAAAAACAGAAAAACAGGTCGTGTACTAAATGGGTTGAAAAATAACATCTGGGCAATAGCCAATTCCTTACAATAAACAACATTCAAACTAATACAGCTTTGGTGCAATGTTGCACCATTTTAAATTGTAATGGCTTCCGATATAGATTATAGTTGTCAACATTATAATTTATTAAATCAATAACTAATATTCCTATATACTAAAAAGATATGCATTAATACCAGGCAATGTTATTTTATATGTTTTTGATATAACCAATATTTTGAGTGACATGTTTATTCTTTAACATAGATAAAATAATGTAATAATTAATTTTAAATTATACTCTGTTCCTTTGAAATGGCACAATTTAAAAAATGTTAGATTTTATTAGATTTGCAAAATAAAAACACAAATTATTTATTTTGTTAAAATAAAAACAAAAATTTTAAATTAAATTAATCGACTCAAAGGTAAGCCAAAGTAAAATGGTGTGATGGATTTAAGTTGTTAATCTGGTTAATTTAAATATTGTTATATTAAAAATTGTTAGCACCATTCCCATTTAGTATGTATCATTATATTATCCGATTAGTATAAATCATCAACTATATTCTTGGAGTAATATCTCTGGCCAACTAAATAGAAAGCGCTATGAATTGAGGATGAAGTTACAGGAATTAAAATATATTTCATAGATAATAATTATATTGAATCAGTCCAGTACACAGAAAATTAAATATTGTCACAGCAGAACAGACTATTTAAGATAAACATTGGTCCGTTGGGGAAAGCACTGACAGGTTTCTTAACAAGTGATAAATAACAACAATATAATATAAATTCTTAACAAGTCATAAATAACAACAATATAATATAAATTCTTAACAAGTCATAAATAACAACAATATAATATAAATTCTTAACAAGTCATAAGGTGGACTGATATTTATAAATGTACCACATTAAAACTACTTAAACAGAACTGGAACACCACCTAGGAATTTTGTGAAGAAATAAATTCAAAAGAAAAATTAATTAATAGAAAAGCCAAGGAGGAACTGTGGAGAAAATATTTTTTGAGGAGAGAGGGGAAAGAATGGTAGCTTTTTGGATGCAGCTGAAGAAGTAGTCAGTCTTTAGTGAAAAGTCTGTTGATATAGAGCGAAGTGAACAGTCTGGAGAAGGTATTCAAAAGTCAAAAGTAGAGCCTGGTGGTAAAGAAGGAAATAGTAGTCTAGGAAGCTGAGAGGGCAGAGATTGAAGAGGCAGAGGTCCTGAGCCCAATATGAGAGGTGAAGGAAGTAACTGTGGAGTCAAATTTCATATGGAAGTAAAAGTTATTCAAAAAGTTATACCCCAGTTAAATTGAAGTTACAATATTCATTAAGAAACTATTCATATAATGTTTGCTTTGGCAATCCATTAAAATATTAAAGAAAGTAATCGTGCCCTATATCACCATTCTTGAATCTATTTTTTAATAGATTAGATTAATAGACTAAGTGCCATTTCTGAAGCTAGCAAACAATAAAAAGAGACAATATGGCTAGTTATATACTTGCAGGAGTGCCCATCTCCCAAGATCGATGGTGCATGAGCTAGTCCCTTCCCCTTCCCGAGAAAATTTTATTGCTCTTCTCTTCTTAAGAACAGTGCATGCCAAAGTAGAATTAGAACAATTTTAGATCATATATAATTACCCTAGCAGTGAGGCCCACGTTTTCCGTCGTTCTCTGGTTTCAAACTTTTCATTCCGAAAATTCAAAACCCGTCAATATGTGCCCATCTTCAAAAATTTTGATGGAGTTGATGTGCCATAAAAAGTATTTCTTAAAAAAAATTACAAGAAATGGTTAATACTTGCCTTCAACCTAGCAATTCTCTTCTTCCACGACCTAACACCAGAGTCCCAGACGAGATGCAGAACCTCCCTGTCGAAGTTGACGTCCCATCCTTCGTGGGTGATGGCGAAGGAAAAGGCGACGGCCGAGTGGGCTTCTGCCATCCCGTCCTCTTCTTACCTGCAGGTGGAGACCACAATTATTCAAGAGACAGGTAATATATACAATAATAAAGAAGTTTATAATTATATAAGTTAGACTTCATTTTCTTACAGTAGATTATAAAATTCAACTGTTTATTTCCTTAAACGTTAATTTCAGAAGTATATATTTTTACTTTCAATTACCTGTACATGAAATATATAGCGATGGAAAGTATTAAAAAATGTGATAAGTGAAAGTTGTGAGGTGCGCGCACCGCACTAGATTGTTTTCTGTTTAAACGGACAAAATATTAAAAGTGGGAGTTTTTGACGTCATTATTGAAAACTACATTAACTCTGGGAGAAAAAAAATGTCCTCCCCGCATTAAAGAGGCAGAATGAAAGTTGGTTGAATGAATTTTTACTTTTCCGTTATACTTCTTTGACCACTTCTCACGAAAACCTAGTATCTTTGTTCTACAGATCCCTGAGAAAGGCTTTACGCAATCGACCTGCCGCTCATCAGTATAAAATAAAATGGTAGAGGTTCAACAGTGGATACTTTTTCAATATTCATTTTTAAAAAAACTCTTTGCAAATTAAATCATCCCTAACCCTGTCGTAGCCGGTAATCGGTGTGTGCAATATATGAGGGAATATCAGGACAGGCAGAGAGCACTAGAAGCTAGAAGTTTAAAATTTTCTAGGTTTAGAATCTAATTATTTAAATTTATTTATAATGTTCGTGCAAAACACAGCAGGATAGGTTAATTATAATATACCTGGTCTGTAACAAGGTCAGGGAATGTAACAGTTCGATCCTCTATGCGCCCGGAAAACGCACACCTGTCTTCCCCTTCTGCTCCAATTCTCACTTAATAAAGGAGACCCAAATCAAGTTATTTCTTTCTTTTATTAATTGTATGACAATGTTATTGCAAAGAAATGCATTTTTTGCTTCCTTGCAACCGAAGGTAGGGACATTTTGTATTCGTACGAGAGGTTAAAAAAATGTTTGTTCTCAGAATAGAAAATTTCCACTAGCGTTTTACATTTCAGATATGAATGATGAAATTAGGTTCGGTGTCTGTCTGTAGTCAAATTTATTATAGTATTTCCGCTTATGCACGCGTAAATGTATTTTCTTAGATATGCCAATATTTCAAAAACGGGTAGTTCGATTTGGCTCAAGGTTGAAAGAAAGATAGGCTTTGATAACAAAATTATGCTGTAAAAATTGTATTGAATTCCATACAGTACTTCCGCTTGCGTACGCGTACATGTATTTTCTTAGATATGCCAGTATTTTAAGAAAGGGCTGGATTTGTTAGGCTCAAAGTTGAAAGAAAGATGGGTTTCGGTAAAATAATGATGATATACTGATTTTATTGAATCCCATCTTGTGGAACTAATGAAAATGGTGGGGAAGTTATACTGGCCTCACTTGGCAGCTTTTGTTTTTTTTAAGGGGGGCTTAAAAATGGTCAAGATTAGACCACTGCTTCCGCTTACGTCAATTCTCACTCATCCATCCAACATAGAAAGAGATCAAAATACCTATAACTAATTAGACAATAGGTTATTGACAGTTCCAAAGAATGTTGCTTTAATTGTGTTGAAACGAAATTCACAAATATTTATATATTCATGTCGCGGCGTCATAGGAAATAAAGATCAAAGTTCAAATGTTTGACCTTGGAATCTTGTTTTTTTTTTTTTAAGCTCGAAATCAAATCCTGTGAAGCGATTTCGCACTCTTCTTTTATCTTCTCCTAAAAGGACACAGATGTTCAGTCCTTAGTAATGGAGATATTTCATTAAAGATTTACTCTCGATCTTAGTAAAATAAGATGGGATGGTTATAACAAATTCCGTGGGTAAATGTGAGTATGACAAATGGCAGGAGTGGAATCTGATCATGACGGCCGTACAATAATGTTTGCTGATGACAGTCTCACATTTCTAACGAAGCTATCTTTATACGTGAGACGATTGATACGAACAGCGTCGATGAATCGTATAAAGGCCATATCAATCGAAACCAGGAGATTATTGAGTGAACTCTTCTTAAGTATTCAGACCAATGAATCGTTCAAATAAAAACTACAAAAAAAAAAAAAAAAACTAGCACAACAAACCGCCTGATAAAACAAGATTCTTTATAATAAACCTTGAATTGACTGGTATGAAGGGCATCAAGCAGACGGAAACAAACAAGGAATAATTATTAGGTAGATGAAAACAAAACTCTATCTATCTAAAAATAACAAAATCTCCTGCATAGTTATATTGAGTCTTTAAAGTTGGGGTTAGGGTTATCAATAATAACATTATCAGAACTAAGGAATTAAACAAAAGTTATAGTTATATACAATACTATACCTTTTTTTTTTACACCGTTTTTATGCAGTTCTGAACCTTTACAATCAAAAAGCCTTCTTATCTTTTTGATTTCCTTACTCCTTGTTCCTCAGTTCATTCGTTCAACACGAGATTCCAATCCTAAAATTTGTTACTTCCTTCTCTGTCATAAGAGCTACCTCGTTTTGTAATTACCTACCAACCTCTATATGCAAATCCTCATCCTTGACCTCATTTAAACACAATCAATCTTCCTAATATATGTAAAAATAAAGTTATCTTGTACTTTAGATATGTCAGCTACATTATACCGATATCTATGAATATCTATGAAGATATCTATGAATGTGCCACATTGCTTACTTGTACAAATACGTGAACTCACTCGTACGCATTTATCTTTAAATTCATATGTCTATTTCAAGATCATGTATTTACTACAGTGTCTTTTATTTATTTTAATATTAAGGTTAGAGAACTTTGTAAATTCATTTATTTTTAATTGTCATTTAATTATCCATAATTGCCAGACAATTGTCATTTCGCTGTTTATTATAGTTATTCTGAGGGGATTAAATGTCCCAGAATAAAATATACTTTCTTTCTTTCAAACTACGCCCCTAAATCTCGTTGTCCAAAGTACTTAGTACCAACGATCAGTACTGGTGGTGGTCCGTGGTGTTCGGTAGCCGTGCACTAAAATTACTATTTTGAATCGTTTTTAGTTAATTGGTTAGCGTAGAAAAAATCGTTTATTCAAAAAATTTCCGAAAGTTTTTCACCGATCGCTTTAAAAATTTGACACCATTGGCCTTTCGTTTCTGAAGGTAGCCTAAAAAGTTGTGGCCCTATAAACTGTAGCAACGAAACGGCTGTTAACTATTTTAATAAAACTTGGCTAAAGTCTTTTATCGTCTTGGGGAACAGCAAAATTTTGTAACATCAAGCGCATCCAATCCTTCCAGTTAAAAGTCCTTCGAACAATAGTCGATGCTCCTTTCTATGTAACCAACAAAACCTTACATCATGACTTCAACATCCCTTTTGCCCTAGACCTTATCCCAGAAAAATTCTCCAAATTTCACCAGAACCTTACGTATCATCCAAATCCTCTTGCAGAATCCCTATCAAGCACCACCCATCCCTATAATCCTTCAAGAAGGTTGAAACGGCAGTGGCCTCGCGACCTTTTGAAGATTGTATATATTGGAGTTCTGGCAATGGCCAGATTCTCCACACTCAAGACATGGGTGTATGTTTTTTTTTTTTTGGGGGGGGGGGTTCCTCCCCTTCCTCGCCTTTAAGGCTATACGGGGTTTTCCCGGGACAGAGAGTATGGGCGGGAATTTAAAAGACCCCCGGCACCGGGATGCAAACGTGTGACTATTTTTCATCGTTGACTCATATATCAGATTGCTGGACAACGGCGGTACTGTGCACACTCGTTAGCCCATTCGGCCACCCCGCCCACGCATGGATGTATGTGGCTAAAGTGCTCTCGTTCAATCTCCGCTGGCTTTAGTACCAGTGATGAGGTTGAGAGAGTAGCGCAGGGTTATCCTGGAGTTCCCTCGCCTGATAGTAAATAGTGTATATAGGTATGCATGTGTTTTTTGCTTAGTTTTAATTTTCTTATTTTAAGGTTATTTTATTGTATTTATTGCATATAACTTTTGATTATTATTTATTGTTATTTTCATTCTATTTATTTTATATTTTTTGTACATATAGTGTGAATGTTGTCCTACCTCACTATAACTAATGTCCATGTGACTGATTATAGTAATACTCAATAAATAAATTTAAAAAACAAAAATTGGCAAACAAAAATCAACACAAAGTTGAACATTAATCAAATATATAAATAATTATTTATATAATTAAACATACGAAAAACGTGCGTTTTCTATTTTCTGTTTTTTCCATTTAGCCAACTGAAACCCAGCGATGCGTGGCCGGGTAAAGCTAGTTTAAAATAAAAATACAGTTTTTATTTAAAAAAATATTTCTTTAAATAAGATTTGAAAATAATTTATTATCTTGGTTAGTAGTTCAATTTAATGATCTCCGTTTCGCCTCGTTTCAATCAGTTTTTTTATTACATTATAAATGATATTCCGTATAAATGCTATTCTTAAGAGTTATTATCCTTCAAAAATGACTTAATAACAGGAAGCAACCCAGCTATTACATGTAACTTATAAATCATTCGGTTCAGAAAAAAGAAAAAAAAAACAGAACTACAGAGGTTTTATGAATAGAACTGTTAAAACATAAAAACATACTATTAAACGATAATAATTTAAACCAAAAACAAAATGTTTTACAGAAACAGAGTAACAACAAGTGGACGTTTACTGAAAAACAGTTAGCAAATTATAAAAGTCACAAAATCAAAAGGACACAAACGATACATAAGCGAAATTACTACTTGGAACAAGAAGAGTAGAACTGTAATCAGAGCACAAATTATGGTGGCATGAAACACAAACAAGCATCGTGCTTTAACTACTACACGCAACCTACTGTATAACAAATGCAATAAACCAGTCTCATGGGCACAATAACCTATAACTAACAGCACATAGTGGTCCAACTGATCAAAACTCGAAATAATACTATTTTTCTTCAACTTGTCTCTAGGCTGAAATAACCAACGACCAACGTTAACTAGGA